AGTCACTCCTTTTTACCGCCATTTTGAGCCTTCGGAAACGTTCGGAACAGCTTCTCATCAAGTTCGCAATACTATTACAGGTAAGGTTGACGCATGCGCAGACGTTTTTCCGCGGTGTTACCGTTGGAATGTTATTAATATTTTGTATCTTTGAATTTTCTTGAATTGAATCTCTAGTCTGTATTCATTTACAAGCATAGCGAACCAGAAGAGTGTTAAAAATTCAGTATTATATATATCTAATCATATTTTACAACTGTAGCACTGAGTTCAAAATGTAAACAAAGCGTTTGTTTACATTACAGACTTTACATGGTCTTTAACATATTGATTCAATAAGTTTAATATCAATATATTTATTGAAAAATAGCTATTATGTCAAAATAACAAAACTTTTTCAAACTTTTCGCGACTGTTCATCTGTAGTTGCAAGGGACGGTAATAACAAGGTCAACACTCAACAGGTCAAGGTTTTGTCACTGACTTGGTATGATTGACTATTCGAAGTAAACAATGTTTATATTTTACTACAAATTTAGGTTTATTGTGGCTTACTGACAGTATAAAAACCCGTGGAAACCGTGAATTACTATAATAGATTGAAAATAGTTATTAAACTATGATCTCGACTATGATTGAAATTATCGAAGTAGAATGCTATTTCAGTATTTCGTTCAATAATGTATTATTAAATTTCAGTAGACAATAGTTCATGTTATTTACAGAATGTAATGTAATTTTGAAATTTGAAGTTTTACACACAATATAATCAGTGCTAGCACAATGGCTTCGTTTCAATTTGAGCATATAAAAACTTAGAATTTTGATAGCGTGGCCTTTCACAAACATATTAAAACGCCTGATAATTGATAAATAAATATCAGTGCGAGCACAACGGCAGCAAAATAATAACAGAATATAAGCTAAATTAAAAACAGCAAAGCTTTACCTACCTCGATCTATTTTTCTAAGGCGCTAAATTACGTAAATTTTCGACGAAAGCCGTGAACAAAAGCGTGCATATTTATTGTTTCAACTTTCACATCATGAAAATGCTCGTCGGAAAAACTCGGGCCAACTCGGTATTTGTCGTATTTTACTAATCTATCACGTGATTTACCACCGCCGGTACAACGCACAACACGACATAGCCTGCATGGCAGGCGGTACGTAGGAAATACCGCCTGCCGCAAAACTGGGTGTAAATGAACTACCGCCCCTGAAGCATCAACGCTATTTATAGATGAATTAATTAGTAAATATTCAAAATTAGCCACTCCCCAAGCTGCTCCCAAGTCCCAACTGCCCAACATAAAATAAATTCCTTGATTCTCATCACCGCCCGACTGAATTTTAAAATCCTCGTGAAAACGTTTTATTTTTCGTTATACAATATAAATGTACCGCCCGACAAAATAATTCAAGACAGTTAATTTTTTCATATTTTATATAGAGTTTTTATTGCCATTTTAAACTTCCAATTTGAAACAAACAGAATTTTGAGTGAAATTTCATTGTATTTTAAAGAAACTCAGTCATTCTATCATTGTTCGTGGAGATACGAACTATTGATATATAAATTATATAAATATAAAATATAAAAAATAAATCTCCCACTGTCTTCGACATTTCAAAGTGTAGACTGTGTCTAGTGATGAGAATCAAGGAATTTATTTTATGTGTTAATATAAACCAAGCTCGTTCAGCTGCCTTAAAACGTTGGTTTAATAAGCTCAAAATACAAAGCATGCAAGTCTATACTATAGATTCATCATCAGTCAACAACCAAACTGAAAGTATTGAACCTTATAGAACGATAGTTTTTATTTGTTTACAACTATACATATTCAACGGGTATATAAGAGTTTAACTGTTATTTGATAATTACTGCATCAACCGGCCCCTTGTTTATACTTTGGAGGTTCGTATATAATATCTATCAAGTATCTTTGGTTCAGAACATGACTGATAGGCCTATATGGAAATCCCACTGTTCGATTCAGTGAAGAAATATCTCCTAATTTCTATCGATAGTTTTAGTAAAATGTCAACATTATTGCGATTTATGGGCCTTTGAAAGTCAAGCGAGATAGTATATTATCAAATTAATACGAATGTAATTGTCTGAACGAAAATATAGACTAGCCCATACCTTTCGCCGATCATAACTTCGGCCCCTTCGGACGTATCTTCTTTGTTAAATATTCTTGTTCGAATCTCTATCAATAACACTATGTAGAGTGTTATTTTTCAGCTTGTATCTTTTAATTTGCTTCTTTTATTATGTTATTCCATTTCTGGTCTGACTTGACGTGAACTAATTTCAAAACGCAGAGTTTCAAAACGTCAAAACATTTGGTTAATGATTAACATTTAACCGAATTTAGCCGTTGATTGACAACTACATAAAAATACTAACCAATCCGTTTTTCCCGTTCACCAGCGGACGGGTAATTCAAAAACCCCTAGTTTTGCGGCAGACGGTATTTCCTTTGCTTCCCTAATTTTCGCTGCCCGTAGAAATACCGCCTGCCATGCAGGCTAAACACGACACGAAATTTAGAGCTATATGAAAGTTGCATGCCCATATATGGGCCTGCAACAAAAATGATAAAAGAATGGTGGACATAAGTGTTGATGATCGAGATCAAAAGAAAACGATTTAAGGATCATTTTTGGTCGGAAAATAGATAATAACAAAAATAATGAAAAATGAATAATGAAAAAACCCGCATCAGATTTTTTAAATTCTCGGACGGTAAACAGAATCTACAGTTCCATTGGCCTTAGGGACGGACCATTATTTTTTTGGAGGGGGGGAGGGGGGGATGAAAAATTCTTAAAAAAATTGTTTGCAAAGACAAAAAAGTGCAAATAAATTGTTTGCACACATGGAAAAGAGGAAAAAAATAGTTTGCAAGCTAATGAGATTATGCAACATCAACCAAGGTTAATGCACCTATCAATGTTAACACCCAGAGGTTGGGCATATGTGGGGTATTTGATCATCAATTGCATCCCCACCTTGGGGATTTTGATCAGCATTTTGGCCCCAAGTTGGGGCAATTTGAACCAATTAACCTTTATTAATATAGTATTTATTGCAATTTATTGCAAAATAGTGGGGCATTTGACCAATATTTATTGCCCGACGGTGGGGCATTTGATTGAAAATTTGCTCAAAAAATCAAATGCCCCACCTTTTCCCCGACCCCCCCCCCCCTCTGGGGCTTAACATTGATAGGTGCATAATGACAATGAACAGAGTGCTCACCAACATACCCAGGGTCTTCACTCCAAAGCCCTGGGATGGGACACGCTGGGCACATGTTGCAATCTACATATGGGTTAAATATTAATCTAATGAGTATTTAATACAGTCATTTCTTGGGGGGGGGTTGTATTTTTTGGTATTTTTTGTATAAAATAGGTAATTGGACAAGTACTGGTGTAAGACATTGTGTAGCGTAAATAATGAGAGGACTGAGTATCAGGGCCTTTTTTAACATACAAGCGGTGGGGGGGGGGGATGTCTGCCTTATGCTCCCCTCACGAAATCACATTTTCCTTTTCATTTCCCTTTTTCCTAAATTTACACAAACAAACCAGCGAAAAATAACAAATTGATAAACAAAAAGTAAGTTTTAGGCTTTCTCCTTTCTCCTTGTTTAATATAACAAAATCGATTTAAATTGTTACGTTTTTCCACCTGGCACTAAGTAATGATGATAAATTGTTAATAATTTTATATTTTTTGTGCGTTTTTTCCATCTTTTATTTCAAATACAAGTATACTTAGCATAAATTTTAGAGCAAATTTAAATGCTCAGAATGCAGGAAATGGCATTTCAGGGCTTCAAATTTCAAAAATTTTCTGGGGAAATATGCCCCCAGACCACATGGCCGTCAGCCATTCCTATCCTTCTCTAATATATTATCTCACAGAAAGGTCCCCCCCCCCTCACATGGTAAAATCTTTAAAAAAGGCCAGGACCAGTATACCGAAAAAACTATTAAATGTCTGTTTACATATTAAATTTATACTTCTGACAACACCACATGTTGTTCGATCACCAGCGCCGTAGCAACCGGGGGGGGGGGCCTGCAGCCCCCACAACAATTTGCTAATAATTATTCATTTTTCAAAATCATGCAGACCTTTATAATTTAATTCATGACAAACTGCAAAGAATGAAGATATTACCCATACTTTCCTGCAACTTATCCAATATAAAGTTTAGTACTACAGAATTGTAAATTTCGCTGTTTTCTGACCATCAGAATTCTGTCAAATCTTCCCCAAAGTCTAGGAAATAATGGCATTTCAGAGACTCTAAATTTAAAAATTTCCTCAGGTCTTCGGTCCTCGCTTTCAGTCCCCCCCCCCCAATCGAAAAGAGCTTCCTACGGCCCTGATCACACATGCAATAGTGTAATCGGGCACAAATTAAACTATATATATATATCAATTTATAATGAAATCCACAGCAATCAGATGGACAAAAAAATTGTTTGCAGAAGGAAGCAGGTGCAAAAAAATTGTTTGCAACGACAACAGCACCAAAAAAAATTGTTTGCGTTGACGAAATGTCCACCCTCCCCCCCCTCCAAAAAAATAATGGGCCATCCCTTACAAGCACATACTGGATATAAATATTAGTTATACAGTATCAAATGTAGATGCCCAAAAATTAAATCCTGAAAATTTAATAGACTGTACATATACTTTTTGAGATATGTAATAAGGGGATGTTTATATGGGGGCGAGGCTGGATGCCCGGGGTTAGGGGCTACAGACTTAAGGTCACTTTTCCTGAGGCAAGATCTCGGGCTAAAGGGGCGGGATCTCACTTAGCTATAGCTGGGCCCGCTCTTTACCCATATATACACAAGGTGAACTTTTAATAGTTAGAAATAACAACAAAGCCAGGATCTTGCCAAAACTGGGCCAGCTTGGGTACCCTGGGGTTGGCTTGCAGTTGCACCATTTAAACAGCTCCTATATATAGGCAATATATATTTTGTCTGGTCATTGGAGTCTTTGGAGATTTTGTGTGTAAATGAATATAAAAATGACCCTTTACAGGTGGGTTGAGGGGGGTGTTTCTGTCAACATTTTGGAAAGCAATAATATTTTATTAAAAAATTAGAATAATCACATATTAAACTCTGATTGTAGTATATATTGTATTGTGTGTGATTAAAGTAAGGTTATATTTTTTTTACCCCACCTCTGCATGCAAGGATTTTTTGGCCACCCCACCTAAAGCAAGTATTATTTTTCAGTTACCCCACCATTTTCTGTTCGGCCCCCACCCCTGGCATAAATAATGACCGGTCCCTAAGGTAGTGTATACTTTGGCTCGAATGCAAAATTAATGTAATTATGTTTCCTGCCGTTGCCGTTGCCATTACCATTACCATTGTCGTTTTCCTGTTATGTACAATCGAAAACGTATGGAGTTACGACTGTTTTTCCTTCTTCAAGCCATCTCTAAACTCGCTATAATCTTGAAAACCGGTCTCTTTTGTGACAATTTCATTCCACATTTTTTGAATAGCTTCTTTGGTGCACTCGTCCATTATTTCGCGTCCTTTTGTTGCAGAACCTGTAACAACACGTTGAAGTCTGGTTTTTTCCGGCATTCCCAACAATTTATTCCGATAACTTGATACGAGGTTGGTTGCGAACTTGTTTCATGAAATCAAATGTGCTCATTCTCACAGCATTTGTTATGCTAGCTTCATCATCAATTCGCATGAACGATGCAACGGCCCTCACTGCACTTTCCAAGTCATCCAACATATCTTCGTATAGAAGAAACAATACACTCGGATGATTTCGTCTTGGCCACCAGCTCAGCAAATGATGAAAGTAATATAGATGCATATGTTCATTCGAGGTAAGGAGCATATTTTTCACGAATTCATCAAGCGTTATTTGTCCACGTTGAAAATGATTTCCTTCGAAGAATTTGAATAAACTGTAGAATGATGCACAAGGCTCCCGATAGACAACAATGTACTTTCCGCCTTTAGGCCTGGCCTCGTACTCAGCGTGGGTCTTGAAACATCTAGGCTGATATTTGTGTTCGGCATCGAGGTCTTGTCCGACATCATGAGCCAATTCAACCCATGGAACAACTTCCTCGATGTCTTTGAAGGTCATATCACCTCCGCTACGCAGTTGATGCATGATCTGTTGCATCCATGTCGTACCATATTTCATTGGGGTAGCAACAATCACATCACTTGATCGAGGGACGAAACTTAAGGCCTTCTGTCTGCCTTCCTTTGTCATTAGACGTAAAAATCTCTGATTTAGTAGTTCTATGGCTGGATTTCGTCCCTCTGATGTCGACATTACTGATAATGCAGTATAATATTACAGTCTTTCCCAAAAGGTATTCGTCGTTCGGTGATAAAGATGGCTGCCTCGTACCCAGGCGTCTCTTTGTAAAAAAACAGTGATGCCCATATGACGTGTTTACATGAAGTATTGTAGTGGGGAGAGATGGTGAAGGGGCTGATGGGAAGAGTGCACCCCAGCATGCACCCTTCCCAACAGCCCCTTCGCGCGTCTGATGCCTACCTGAATACTTCATGTAAGCGCCTGGGTACGAGGCAGATAAAGATGGTATAATTTCTGTCGTGAGTATTGCACAATTTCGTCAATCATCAAAATTTATTATTATTATTACTATTAAAACCTGGACTGACTCCAGAAATCTGTAGAACCGGGAACGAAAAGAGTCGGAAGGCCCTAATTAAAACCCCTAGCTCCTCTGCACTGCAGGCCTTAGGGGCTATTTATATGGAAGCCGAACTGACCCGCTTAATTTTAGCGAGACAGCCCGGTAAGCGAATTTGAAATCTCACTGTGTAGTTATTTTTATAGTAAAAATTACCGCGCGTTTATTAAGCGGGATGAAAGTTGAAAGATAGCGTCGCAAGCTATTTTTAACTTACTGTCAAAACAAAATTGTCCCGGCAAGCGGGATGAAATTTTCTCATATAAACACAAGAGAAATTCATCCGGCTTACCGGACTCCCTCGCTAAGCGGGCCAGCCCGGCTTCCATATGAACAGCCCCAGAGCCCCCTAGGGACTGTTTATTTACCCGAGATTCAATGAAGTGTGAAGTATTTTGAGCAATTGAAATAAGTTGCACTTCATAATATAACAACATTGTTTGTTGCAAATTGTATAAAATTCCATGTTTTAGACAGAAAACAAATGTTGTTGAATGCTATTAATCGTCTTGTTCCCTACATAACTTCTAGCTCGTTCCTAATTTCGTTTAAATAATATTTAAAATAATATTTAAAGTTTTTTTAGGACGGAAAAACGTATTTCAATTGCTCAAAATACGTCAGACTTCATTGAATCCCGGGTAAGCGGGACCATATAAACATAAACAGCCCCTTAGTCTGAAAATAGCCTCTTAGCGTACATTTACCTAATGCGCAATACCATGACTTCGCCTCAGTTAAAATCCGATGAAAAAGTGCACTTTATTCCAATGATTGGAATCGACTCCAAGCTCAAGATCGGCTGCAAAATAAGCAGTTTCTGCTAATTACAGCTACGAAAAACTTTGTGGGACTCTCAGACTCGCCAAAACAATCTGTACAAAGGCTTACAGACGATTCCTTGCGATAATCAATAGAATGATCAGGGTGTCTACGGGCCTTGAAAATCAAGGAAAGTCCCTTAATTGGAAAACAAATTCCAGGACTGGAAAGTCCTTGAAAATCAGTAGAAGTCCTTAAAAGTCCTGCAATTAATTTCCTTAACCTCCAGCTGTGCCAACATAAAGTGAATTATTTTCTGGGCAAATCGGCGCAATTTTCAAAGATTTCCCCATAGTTCTAGGTTCTTGAATTTACTGAAAAAGGGCCTTGAAAGTCCTGGAAAAGTCCTTGAATTTCACCTTCACCAAAGGGTGGACACCCTGGATGATGTTACGATCACGAGAGTGATTCAGATGATGGGCCATTAGTACCACAAGACGAGCGATATAGGTACAAAAATAACACTGATGTGGAAGAGAATTTGGATGAAAATTATGATGAATCAAATGATGTTATCGTAGAAGAGGAGAGTGATTCAGATGATGGGCAATCGGAGCAACTAGACGATGACCCAGTAAAAAGCCTACCGAAAGTAGCTTGTGCTGCATTCGTTTCTTTAACAGAGGACTGCTGTTTCTTAAATTATTAGTCACTACACGAGCCATGGGATCGGACTATACACGGGGTGTCTAAAAAAAAACGCTACGGAAATTCAACACACTGTTGTGCATCATAAACTTAACTAAACAGTTTAATTTTTACATAGGACGAAAGAGCTATTATTTAGCTTTTCTATGATACCTTTCTTAAACCGTAACGATGAGAAATGGCCACATACTCGTCAAATAAAAATTGTCGGTCGAAATCACATTCTTCCACCGTTGGGAATTGAAAGTACATTAGTTATGCAAAGTTAAACAATCCAAAAGCAACGCAAGCCTTCTGCAAGGTACTTGTTTCGTAAAACGTTTTGATTACGAATTTTCACTGTTCAGTGGTTCATGTTTAATGCAATAATGGACGTTCTTATTTTAGATAATTTAACATTGTCGCGATTGCTTCCCCGATAATAAAGAAATCACTCACTCACTAACGTTTACAAAAGATTATATTTTTCGCTTCACAAATCACAGAAATATCTCGCCCTTTTGAAATGTAAATTCTCTCACTGTCCCCCACAAAGCGTCTTCGCGTGGTAATCACGCGCGCGAACCAAATAAGGTTAAACAAAACGAACAATATGTTTTTCGTATTATAAAGTACTTAAAGGTCTCCGACACTCTCCCCCCATTGTCCACGATTAGTGGGGAATGTCAACTAAATATCCTCGTCCTCCGCCCAAAGTTTTATCTTCCCTTTCGCCAACACAGCCGCCGCTCTTCTGGGTCTGAATTCTCTAGCACGTGGGTCTAGGCTCTTTGGTTGTTCGCGATCGTCCTGCTTGGTTGACTCGGTTGACAATTCTAGAGGGTAAAGATCTTGTATCGGCCGGTCGATCGTCGTTTTCCGTGATCTCATTCGAGCGCCTCGCACCACTCCGTCACGTCCCTTAATCAGCTTCGTAACTATGCCGATATTCCATTTACCGTGATTTCTACTGTCGTTCTTGATTAACACTACTTCTCCGACCGTAAGACCGTTGGCGTTTTATTCTTTCCCTGGTGTTTAAAGTTGTGTCGTTCTCTAAGGGCTCTCATATACTCCCCCGTCCATCTTTTCCATACAGCTTCCTTACTTCGCAGTACATGCTTTGCACGTCTTTTGATCTCTTCTTCTTCCGTCGAATCCCTTTCTTCGTCAGGAAGAACATACGATTCACCAGTTATCATCAGATTAGGGGTAAGAACTGACAACTCCACATCGTCTTCTACGTAAGTAAGAGGTCTGTTGTTTAAGCTGATCTCCACGTCTAACACGACTTCCTCGAGTTCTTTCCACTTCAAGTGCAACGCTCCTATCACCTTGTACAAAGATTGTTTCACCAGACCAACAAGTCTTTCATACTGACCGCCCCACCACGGGGCCTTGCTCAGATTAAACTGCCAGGTAATGTTGTTCTTCGCGAGAAAGTCATTTACTAGCTCACTCTTGGAAATCTTCCGGATTCTATTAGCCGCCTCCACGAACGTCTTGGCATTATCCGAGTATACTTTTTCTGGTTTACCTCTTCTCGCTACGACTCGCTTTAGACTACGCATAAACTCCTCGGTCGACATGTTCGGTAAGAGTTCCAAATGAACTGCTCTCGTAAGACTACATGCGAATAAAAGTAGATAAGCCTTCGACTTAGTTCCTGATCGGTTCTTGTACAGGAATGGGCCCGCATAGTCGACTCCGATCACCTGGAAGGGTCTGGTTCCCTGCGTTCGGTCCTTGGGTAGGTTGCCTGTGGGTGGTTTGTTAAAGGGGGTTACTTGAAATCTCTTACATCCGTTGCAATTTCTTCTCACTTTTTTCGTTAATTGACGTAGCCGTGGGATCCAGTAGCGTTTCCTCACCGCAGCCATCGTCATTCCGACTCCCCCATGTAAGGTGCACACATGTTCATGCATCACGATCTTCTCTGCCAGTTTTGATGTGGGAGGAATATATGTGGGGTATTCGCCTTGTATTCGCCCTTTGCACACCAACAAGCCTGATTCGTTCTCCTTCAGGTTGAGACGATGTTTATCTTCTTCTAGTTGTTCAGTGTCATCGTATCGTAACTGTTCCTTCTTTATCCACCAATTGACTTGTTCTTGAATTTCTTCGGTGGTTAACACTCCCCGACGCCGTTCCGTTGGCTGCGATCTCAAATTGAACAGGAATCGTGCTATCCAAGCAGTTATCCTCATCGCCTTCCAATAGCTATGTTTCTCGAGTATTCCGTACATCACCTCAGCTTCTGCATCCACTGCACAGCTTAACACTGCTCTTTGATCCAGCTTCAATTCAGCACTAGATGCATCTGTCGCCGGGGTAGCGATCTCTGGTGGCCAGTCACTCGGGTTGGACAACCAAAACGGACCATTGAGCCATTCGTTTGGAATTTTGTCACCTGCGCAACCTCTGCTACCAATATCGGCTGGGTTTTCCTTCGTTCCAACGTGTCGCCACTTTATGTAACTCTTTTCCTTGATCTTCTTTACCCGATTTCGTACAAACTGCTTGTAGCTTCCTTCGCCGTTGATCCAATGTAGAGCTACCGTACTATCCAACCAACCGTAACAATCTTGCACCGGGAATCTCGTTAATACATTTCTCACGTTGTCTAGTAGATTTGCAGCCATTTGTCCCGAGACAAGTTCTAGCCTGGGTATAGTTAAGTTCTTCTTCGCCAACCGTGCCTTTGCCGTTATCAAACCTTCCGTGACTCCTTGTTCTTGGCTCACCACCGCGTAAACTGCCGCAGCTGTCCCTTGGCCACTGGTATCACCGAAGGCGTGCAGATCTATCGAACAAATCTTGTCTTGATGCATTGCCAGACTTCTGGGTACTTCAATTTGCACTGGAAGATTTGCATTCTATAATTTCCACCGCTTCATGATGTCTTCCGGCAGTTCCTCATCCCAAAGTCCTCGAGAGTCGCACACGTCTCAATATATGAATTTGCCGGATAGGGTTACTGGTGCTGTTAGTCCTAACGGATCGAATATGGAAGCTAGCTTGCTGAGAACTGTTCTCTTCATGCCCAACAACTTGGTCTCATCGTTCTTTACTCCCAGTTGCTGTTTGGCAAAGCTTGGTTCCGTCTCGGGATCATGTCCTCCAGGTGCTTCTAAACTTGGCTCGTTCGAGTGCCATTTGTGCAACTGGAAATGCGCTCTGTCAAAGATTTCGATTGCGGTTTCCTTTAGCGATTCAACTTCAGTCACCGTACTACCACCACCTAAGATATCGTCTACGTATAAACTGTCCTTAATCTCTACGACTTCGTCAGGGAATTCTTCTGCTACGCTCGTTAGGTGCTGATCTAGTGTTCCTCCGAGAAGAAATGGGGACTGATTCAACCCGAAAAGTGCTCTGGTAAATCGATAGCACAAAATAGAGAAGGGCAGAAGCTTCACTCGAGTCGGAACCTTTGAAGTTTTTTTGCCGGCACATGTTACTTCCGGATCCTGGCCGCCATGTTGAAAGCACAAAATAGAGAAGGGCAGAAGCTTCACTCGAGTCGGAACCTTTGAAGTTTTTGTGCCGGCACATGTTACTTCCGGATCCTGGCCGCCATGTTGAAAGCAACCAACTCTGGTCTGAAAACATTATAAACTAATATGGCGAAACTTGTATTTCATAACTTTAAATGGGTATATCGTCGTTATTTTATGGTGGATGTCATTGAAATTTTCAGGACGTACAAAAGAAAGGTAGATTATTCATTTTATTATAATAAAAGGTCATTGAATGATGCTAAAATTGTCATTTTAAACGCAGCAAACTGTATGTGCTGTTTTGGCACCGATGGATATATACGCATTTATATGTTGTTTTTCTGAGTGTAGTTTGAAACTATTGCAACTACTAATCCACTTAACTTGAAAAAAAATGCGTCATGTCTTGTTTTTAGAACGCAGTAAATTGATTTTTTTTAATTTTAGGCGCATATTATACTGTGAATATCCTTATAATTCGTACTACTATTCGTACTAAATTATATACCTGATCAGTGAAAGGGGATGCGATGTCTTTGTGTTGGGCTTCTTTTCTTAATTAACAAAAACGTTTTTGGACTAAACTAAGTAAACTGCGCGAGTAGAATCCATTTTCACCAGAACTGGTTTATAATTTGTAACTTTGATATTAAACTTTGATTGCTGGTAACAGTAATGAGTACGATATTTGTTCACATCTGTATCAAGCAATTGATGGTGGAGCAGACTAAGGGCCTGTTCATATGATTCCGCTTGCCGGGACGTCTCGCTTACCGATGATCTCGCCGCCTATCTATTTTCCTATAAAATTTTGCATTGTGTTCATATGAGAAAGCGAGCTGGCCCGCTTGCCGAGATCTCGTTTGAATTTGCCGAGATCATAGGTAGGCGGGATGAAAATGTTTCCATATGAACACGCCAGCCCGCTTACCGGGATGAAGTGAAACAAGTCTTGCCGGTTTAATTTAACACTTTTTACTTGGTTTTATGTTTGTTTTGTAAACAAGTATTAAATATGATATTTGTGGTGTTACTCTGAGTGCATATCCACACCGGGCGAGCTTGAAAAATATGCCCGGCCACGGTTGGATTCGAACCTACGACCTTTGGAATACTAGCCCAATGCTCTTCCAACTGAGCTACGCGGTCAGGACGGTTCGAGTAAGTGATATTTCGGAACAGAATCTAGTTCCTTCGATACCAATGTATTCTAGTAATATGAATTTTTTTCTGTGTTGGTGTAGTGTACTCAGGTGAATATGATATTTTTGGTGTTACTCTTAGTATATATCCACACCGGGCGAGCTTGAAAAATATGCCCGGCCACGGTGGGATTCGAACCTACGACCTTTGGAATACTAGCTCCAAAGGTCGTAGGTTCGAATCCCACCGTGGCCGGGCATATTTTTCAAGCTCGCCCGGTGTGGATACTCAGAGTAACACCAAAAATATCATTAACCAACTTTATTTTTACTGGATAGCTCAATCATTTCTTAACTGTTCTCACACGTCAGAAATTGTGCTTTCCCGGAGAATGACATTTTTAATAAACATCTACTGTATAGATACAGTGTATCTCTTCTGTATGACCATGTCCTAAATCATGTCTGTGCTTTTGTTTTGTTTTTTCTTTTTAACTTTCTTTCCCTTCCTTCTCTTATATCTGAATGGATGCCTCTTGAGGTCATTGTTATTGCCGTCCAGCTGTTCTCCCTCATGGCTCTCGTATCCGAATAGATGCTTCTTTAAATGGCTCTCAGATTTGGCCTGATGTTTTCTGTGACGTTTTTGATGTGACTTGTGTCTTGCTGAATGTATCGTGCTATTGTTATGCTTGTCTTGATTTTTCCCATTGTTTACATGCCTGACTTTATGCTTCGTCTCATCATGTTTTTCTGGATGCTTTGTGGTTTCATTATGTTTGTCTACATTATCATGGCTACTATGCTTCTTATCGTTGTGTTTATTTAGATAATGTCTCTCGTGTTTCTTGCGATGTCTCCTATGATGTTTGTAATGGTGGACCGGCACGTATCTCGCTGGATGCTTGACTCGATGGTGTCCATTGTGCGCATCTTTGATGAGTAGAAACACTGCACATTTTTTCTTGGTATGGGATCTTCTGCATTGCCAGTATCTGGACAGATTTTTCGAAATATCTAGGTAAAAATAGATAGAGTATTTCATAAATTGATAATAAAATTAGTTGCTGTTTTTCATGAAAAATAGGTGAAGTTTATTTGTGCCAATGATAATACAAAAAATTGAAAATCTAAACATTTTATTATAACACATGGTAAGATACCTAACATAAAGGTAATGTATAACTTACTAAGGGTACTAAGTATTGTATTGCAGGGTACTAAATATATTTAGCACAAGTAGGGTTAAAGAAAATAATTAGAATAGCATCGATAAGGTAAAATCATAGTTAAGTATTAATTAGTACAAAATCATGTCCAAGTGCCACTTCCCACATATCGAATGAAATCACGGGAAGTCTGAAATAAGCACCAGTGGGTGGGTTCGTATATTTCAGGCAAGTTTGAGGGTTCGGAGCTTAATAGAGAGGCATTTAATAGATAGAGGTTTTTTATTTAGTTGAGACAGTAACAAAGAAACGCGGTAAACTAATTCATGCACCACAGTCAAGAAAATTAATTCGTAGACTATTGAAAATTTCCAAAATCCCCCTCCCCCTTTACAATGTTGGGAGGGCAATTCAATAGAAGATTAACGGGAAAATGAAGATTTAGTGTATAGGAATAGCTTACATTGTGTCTGAGGTTTCTTGTTCATAATATTCAACTCCTTCTCAAATACTCCTTTGTGCCCAGACACGTGTGCCTCGTTCTGAGGATGAAGTTTTTTTATTTCCTTCTCTTTCTTCAGAGATTTCGCAATGATCCTGCCCTGTTCTGATTCCACGGATTGATTTTGTGCTAGGATCGCCATCTCTATTTTGTTAATATCTATTAAGAGAGTTATTTATGTTTTTATTTACGTACAAGATTCGCCACAAACCACAAATCATTATACACAGTACACTTGTACGTAAACCAGACCAAAAAACATATAATACATAGTCCGTACCACGATTTGTACTTTTTTTGTCAACATAGACTTCAGATTGCCGAGGGGGGACTTGATTAAAAACTGGTAATCTTGAACACATATGACAAAACCTAAGATTTTTAAAGTTATTTGCTTTTTTGCGCAAGCGCTATGAAGCAAAATGTCGCCAAAATTAGTTATATCAATTTTTAGGTGTCGTGCGTGTCGCTTGCGTCGCTTGCCTAAAGGCTAAACTTGCTATTAGAGACCTTGCGATTTTAGGACGGCCAAAACAAACTCCTTCAAATAAATGGTACGTATATGAATTTAATACAGTCTTAGAAGTTCAAGATATGGGTTTTATGGTTGGGAAGAGTTATGCTGAACCTATAGTTTGAAGTTGCACAACCTTGTTGATATTATCAGAGTTGTTGCAAGTTTTTTTCCAACAAGTCCGTCACAATTATGATATAACAATACTGTTACAACCTTGTGTGATCAACCTTGTAACATTCTTGTTATATCATGACTAAAACAACAGAAAGAGGGACTAAAACTAACATCCAACAGCTCCCATCTCTCTATCAGTTCTTAACTGTTCTTCCTAGTGGTCAAGCAAGGGCTGTCTCTAATTAGTGTAGTGTAACTATAATCTGTGATTTGGCGTTGCAAACAGAGCGAAGGACAATGTCTAAATTATTCATAAATCGCAAGGTCTCTATTATAAAACATAGCACGTCCTTACCTTTGCTAAGTTTAGCTAACAGCCTCAGCACCTTGGAACCTTTTACACAATTTGACTTCGCCTCTAGCTGTTGCTGTTGATCATTTAACTTCGACTGATTCTCAGTCAATATTTTTGCTTGTTCGACTTTCTTCTCATCGAGTTTTATATGCTTAGGAGTTGACTCAACTTTTTCATCAAGTAATTTCACCCCGAGTTTATACAGTGCCGGGTTATCTTCCAATGTTTCTTTTTTGATAACAAATCCATAAGTGACTGGAACAAGTCTTGATTTATATACGATTGTCGTGGATTTGTACGGCACGAAAACCCCTCCATCGACAATCGAGTTTCGTTTCTCAATTTCATTGTTATTAGGCTCTGCTAAGCCGATAAAGTTATCTATGATATCCATTCGATCGGACGAAACGACTTTAAATAACTCCACGAAACATAAAAGGAAGATTATTGAAGCTTCGATAACAAAGTACTTCATTTTGAAATGATTTTCTTTCGGAAGAAACTGTTGTGATTTAGACAAAGCCGGCTATAATGTCTTGTGAGGTAGTTTGAAGTGTTTTTGAAGAAATAGTTCCATGTTGTATTTTTGTTTATCGAAATAGCAGGTTGTCTCTTGAACACTGTAAGCTGTCATATGCTTGATTGGTTTTATCATGTGAAGGGGTTTGTAGGTTTTATCATGTGAAGGAGTTTGTGGGATTTTTATACATAAAAAAATTTCACTCGCAATCTTCATCTCATCCCTTTAAATCATCCCTTCGACAATTAGTTTTATATCGCGTGAGATGACCAAGATCCTTTATTGTTATGCGCATGCACCGTTTTATTGTTGTCTTCCCTTTCGATTGTCTGAATGGCTGGTATTAAGGGGCTGATTCGAGCGAAGGCCCTTCATCAGGATCCAAATTCGCAAGCCAGGGTCTTTACTTCTGCACGGCTTTCGTTTTCACTCTCGGGCTTTTCCCCCTACTACTCCTCCCTAAGTGGCAAAGAGGCGGCAATGGACCATTCCCCAATTAATCAAAATTTTGAACTCAACAAGTCTAGACAAAAATTTCATCACAGCTTGAAAGAGCATCACAAAATTAATATTCCAAAGTTTTGTTACAAAATGTTGTAAAATGCGGATAATATAGCCCTGCGAAGTTTGCAATTTTCAGTCATTTTAAGATTACAAACGGGAAACGGTTACCACTTCTGTGCGTAATACAAAATGACTGAAAATAACAAACTTCGGTAGGCTATATTATCCGCATTTTACGGCATTTTGCAACGAAACTTTGGAATACGACTAATTTTGTGATGCTCTTTCAAGCTGTGATGAAATTTTTGTTTAGGCTAGTTACGATCAAAATTTTGGAAAAGTGGTAACCGTTTCCCGTTTGTAATCTAACATGACTGAAAATTGCAAATTTCGCAAGGCTATATTCGCATTTTACAACATTTCGCAACGAAACTTTGGAATATTACTAATTTTGTGATGCTCTTTCATGCTATGATGGAATTTTGTCTAGACTTGTTGAGATTAAAATTTTGGTTAATTGGGGAATGGTCCATTCGAATTACCCCTAATTTTTAGGAGTTCACGTGACCAGAGCCCAGGGGGAACCAAAAGACCCTGGCTTGCGAGGTTACGTCGGGATGTCAGTTGTGAATTGTGGCCTACACGCGTAAAAATTTCACAACTTGTCAAGATGTGTTCGCAACAGGCTTGTAGCAAGCTTGTCAATAAGTTGTAGCAATGCTGTTATTTTCTGTTATTTTATCAAGTTGCTACAAGCTTGTCACTTACAACTTGTTGACAAATTGTTGAATTGCAGGACGATAATAAGTTGTTGGAACAACTTGTAACAAGTCTGTTGAACTCAACAACCTTGCAGCAAGTTATCAACAAGCTGGGAACAAGCAGTGCGAACACATCCTGTTGACAAGTTGTTGGAACAGCATTGCTACAAATCTGCTGCAGGTTTGTTACAATTTGTTGTGCGTTTTTACGCGTGTACTCAAACCAAATAAATTCGGATGTTAATTATAAAGTAAACATCAAAATTATTATGATAAATTTGACGTCAGAATGATAGGTTAATGTTAATTTACCAATTATCGTGCCGATTAATCCGCTCATCTCTAGAATTAATTACTGAATTTATAACACATCTCGGAGTCTTGAGAATAAAATTCCAATTTAATTTAATTGAAAAATAATGCTACATGAATTCCAAAGATATCTTATAAAATCCTATCGTCGATTAACCTACATTGTTGATTATATTATATATGTTCTACTTGTCTCACCCTCGAGTCCAGCTCGAGACTATACTTTGCATTCGAGATAATTAAGCACAATCTGAATGCTCTGTATCGCTGATTTCCGAGCCATGCGTACTTCCTCGTAACCACTTGTGGTTATTTTGTCCAATTCTAGAATATAACTAGTCAGTGTCTCGTCCAAATAGACGTATTCTTTCGTTGCTAGAAAAATTGGGAAAAATAACTTTCGTTAATGTTGTACTTTTTTGTAATTTGAAACTTACGTTGGTTGATCGAAAGGAGATGTGAGCCAGTCAGATATATTATGGAATGAAGAGATCAGAAGATGTGGGGTGGTAGACATTGCAGAGAAGGTGAGGGAAGCAAGGTTGAGATGGTATGGACTCGTAATAAGAAGACATGAAGGAGAGCTGGTCAGAGACATTATGGAATGAAGAAATCAGAAGATGTGGGGTGGTAGACATTGCAGAGAAGGTGAGAGAAGCAAGGTTGAGATGGTATGGACACGTAATAAGAAGAGATGAAGAAGAGATGAAGGAGAGCTGGTCAGAGTCTCGGAGATATTATGGAATGAAGAGATCAGAAGATGTGGGGTGGTAGACATGGCAGAGAAGGTGAGAGAAGCAAGGTTGAGATGGTATGGACATGTAATAGGGAGAGATGAAGGAAAGCTGGTCAGAGATATTATGGAATGAAGATATCATAAGATGTGGTGTGATAGACATTGCAGAGAAGGGGAGAGAAGCAAGGTTGAGATGGTATGGACACGTAATAAGAAGAGATGAAGGAGAGCTGGTCAAAGACATGGAATGAAGATATCATAAGATGTGGGGTGATAGACATTGCAGAGAAGGTGAGAGAAGCAAGGTTGAGATGGTATGCATGTGTAGTAACAATAGATGAAGGAAATCATTGAAAAACTTTGGGCAAAATGTCGGGATTATATGCAAATTTCCTACCAAGTGTCCCATCCTTAGTGGAAGATGAGACAAGGCCAAGTACTGTTAGGTAATACTCTACCTCGCTTTCCTTTGAACTGTTCAACCTGTGGTACCAATGCTGAGGTCTGTTGTAGTATCCTGTTGATATTCTTGATATGCATATCGGATGGCGAGCCTGTCAGTGGAAAGTTTGGCAAGGGTGACAAGGTCTGCCCAGGTTGATGGTTCTGCCCGTAATCATTGCCAACATTTCTTGCATGTAGTGCATATGGTGTAGCATTAGTTGAGTACGGGCTAAGGTAGGGCTGTGGTGCGCCTTGGTAGTTTGGGTTATAAGGTTGCCTGGGCGCCTGGCTGGATTGTTGCTGCAAATGTTGTGTGGGGACCCAACTCAGCGACTGGTTATAAGGTGACCCACTTTGGCTTGGCAGTTGACCAGCTTGATATGACGGTTGGGGTGAGTAAACCGTACTACCTGAAACCGATGGTTGCTGTGTACCTTGGTTCGGCGTTGAGACACTACCATTTTGCGGCTGCCTGTAACCATGCACCATTGCATTCACTGCACCATACTGTTCTGGCTGACCAGTTGGCTTGGGGTATGACCCTGGTCCCATCGACACACCTTGCTGCCCCTGCATTTGATGTTGGTAGTTCTGTCCTTGACCAGGGAACGCATTTGGTTGTTGGGGGTAACCGTACATACCATACGATTGGCTAATGGGCTTGGTTGGCTGGTTCATATCCTGGGGTGGCAGTTTTATATCGGGTTGTGGTTGGGCACCAGCATAATTGGAGACCGGTGGCTGGGTCTGGTACATGTTTCCCATGTAAGGTAGACCTTGGTTTGTGGCCCATGGTTGGTTTGGAGTCGGTTGGCCACCAACTTGTGGATTAGGGATCGGTTGTACATTACCTTGGGATACTTGTTGGTACGAGGTTGGCACCTGTTGTGGTGCTCCGGATCCTGGACGCGACGGTACTGCTGATATCGGTTGGGATGGTACATTTTGTTGTGTTGGTATTTGTTGCATACCAGACACCATCTGAGGTACCATGGGTCTTTGAACTACCATCTGTTGCGGTGGTACCATAACTTGTCTTGGTTGTCCCATCTGTACTCCTGGAGGTGGTGCCATATTTTGGGATGCCGATTGAAATTGCTGGGGTGCCAGCGTTGGCCTCTGTTGTGAAAATTGTGGTTGCCCGGCCATCTGTGGTGCATTTTGTGGTTGTTGCAGTAACTGTTGTTGCTGTCGTAAGTGTTGTTGTTGTTGCAATTGTTGTTGTTGTTGCAATTGTTGTTGTTGTTGTTGCAATTGTTGTTGTTGTTGCAATTGTTGTTGTTGTTGAGCATACATTTGCTGTTGTTGCATGTTATTTGGGGCAGACATGGGCACAGTTTGACTATATTGCATCGGATATGTGTTTGTCTGTGGGGCATACTGCCCTGCCATGTGTGTCACCTGCCCTGCACTGGACATCGCGCTTGGTGAGCTGGGCACGTTATTGGGATTAACTCCACCGCTAGACATTGTCCTCATTTGTTGGTAGTCGGAGTATGGGCTATTGTAATTCTGCTGTTGGTACTGTGACGGCCTTCCCGGTACTTCGTTAGCAACCGACGACTGTGGATTTGCAAAATTTTGAACAGTCATATTCTGCTGACCTGTGTTTTGCCTATAATAGCTTTCAGACACGGAAGGTTTTTCATCGTTTCGTTGCGGTAACTGCAAGCCTTCTAACGACTGGGTTAGTTCTTGCGTAGACGGGTATAGTGATGGTTTAGACCATTGTGCCTGTTTCGCCGGTTGAGCGGGGTTGTAGGGTTCTGAACTCGACACTGCCATATTAACCTGAAATTGCGTAAAACATTTATAAGCACAATTACAGTCAAATCTGGTGTTCCATTGCGCGCAACATTGCAATATTGTCACACAATATTGATCAGCTGATTGCTCTAGTAAATTGCAACCGACGCAAACAAATTGCAATTTTTACATTGCGCCCAAATGTCGGATGCCAAGCATTTGATTGGCTTGTTTTGTACAACTACTAGTAGCCAATCAGGCTTTATTTACAAACTTGCTTTCCGAATCATATTATGAACTTTTGAGTTTTGCAGTTGACGGTTTAATACTGTTACTGTAAGTAAAAATTGCAATTTGTTCCCGTCGGTTGCAATTTGCTAGAGCAATCAGCCGATCAATATTGCGTGACAATATTGCAATTGATTTCTTTTGTACTGTCCTCACTACGATGCAACATAAGCATAAGAATATCAAGTCCCATTTACACGACCGAACAAGTCCTATATGCTTGTCATTCTGGCATATGAAACGGCTGCTGACCTCGCTATTCCTGTTCGGCAGTTTATGGCGACATTTGAAAATGTGACATCTTTAATACATACACTTATTTGTGTACGTACGCCGGGATAAGAATTGTATGTGATTAGTTGTGATTAATGGATTGGGAATATACAAATATTGACTCGGAGAGTCGTTATTTTAGTTTTTGTACAATACAGCCTCAAATATTTACAGCAGAACAGTTTAATATACTTCCATATATATGGTGTTTTACACAAGTCCTGTACAAAATCAAAAACAAAACCGTAGGGTTTTGTTAACATTATCGACCTCTGATTAGCGACAGCTTCCTACCATATTTTGATTTATAATACGTGGATCTTGCCATGTCGTCACTCTGTTTCGATGATCAATAAAAAATGGTTTTCCACTAGAAGGATCAACCTTCATTTCCCAAAACGTCGGCAGCCCACTAGAAGACATTATATAAAGCTTCGTTTATGCTTTTAGTATAAAATCCAGCTTATATATTGAGGTTTATATTGAACCACAAAAAACAAAATCAATATTTTTATTATGTCAAGAAACAACAACACTGATCTCAATAGAGATGAATCAGGAGAATGAACTTTTCCTAGATCGGAAAGCTTTCGGATCTCGAATGCCGATTCTCGGGACTACTCGGATTATTTTGAAGTATGAGATTTAAAGCTTTAAATGCCTCGTGAAGGCGGGAAAATTTAAAAGACGAAATTGCGACATAAGTTTTGTTTGAAATGTTGTGGATTAATCCTTAATTTCTTGTTTGGTGAGTCTTAAAAGTGTTCTTTTATCTTTTTATAGTAATAAGTTTTAGTTGTGAAGAAAAATTTAGCATAGCTTTGAAGGCATAAAAGTGTTTTATACTCGAGAACACGACTGTGTTATTAATAAATTTCTAGCCGCCATATTTTATTTTGTTTGTCAGGTTTGAGTCGCGTTTACTGTATTAATTGTTCTTTGGTAAGTATACAAATTATTCTTCTATCTTTGTGGTATTATAAGAAGAGGTTTCTATAGGAGAATTTAACATATAGTTTTTCAGGCATGAATTTTTTGTTTGTTAATTTTGTGTGCCGTTTGCTAGCAGACTATTAAACTCCAATCTCGTTCCCCGAGCCTGCGATCCTCGGGAAGGAACGTGAGACTCTGGGAGGCAAAAAAAAAAATATGTGGGTTTCCGGTTTCCCGACCCTACCTAGCTTTTGGACGTCGAAATCCCGACCCTAAACTTTTTTATTGGATCATGCTTGTAAGTGTTTCCACTTAGAGGAAAAAGTTTATGGAAAATTGAAATTTGAGGCAATGTTAGGGAAATTTATCTTTGGATGTGGAAGCACTGACTAAACAAAATGGCGTCCGCTTATTCGGAAAATTAAAAAAAAAGTTAAAAAAAAAAAGTTAAAACCGACCTACCCTACCTAAGTTTTTATAAGAAGAAACCGGAAACCCACATATTTTTTTTTGGCCTGGGATAACCCTAGCCTCCTCCGCAGGCATCGCCTTTCGATTATCGGGCAACTGAAGTATGTGAACTACGAGATGCCTGCCGAGGAGCCTAGGATAATCCGTTTCAGGGAGGAATCTGATTAGCCCTTTGGTCTTAGCCAGGATTCCTGGCTTCCGGCAACAGATTATCCCAGAGCCTCGCGTTCCTTCCCGAGGATTGCAGGCTCGGGGAACGAGATTGATTAAACTCGGGGTCCGTACAAAACTTGAAAGTCCTTGAATGTCCTTGAATTTGAAAACAAAAATTCAAGGCCTTCAATATCCTAGAATTTGTAAAGAAATACTTGAACATCCTTCAGACTCATTGTTTTCAGGGTTGGTTGTCTTAGGCTCGGTGTTTTCAGGCTCGGCCATTTTCAGGCTCGGTCGTTTTCAGGCTCGGTGTTATCAGGCTTGGTTGTTGTCAGGCTCGGTTGTTGTCAGGCTCGGTTGTTGTCAGGCTCGGTGTTTTCATGGTCTGTGTTTTCAGGCTCGGTGTTTTCAGTAACTTCATTAACTGTGCATAGATTCGTATATCTTACATATATGCCATGCACAAGAGAAAATGTCCAAACAGCAAACAACTAAGGCCTAAGCCACATAAGGTGTCAAAGGGGGTCTAGGGTTGGTTGGATTTGTTGTTAGATAAATAAGTGGGAGATGTTCTTCATTAAGTACTAGTAGTGACAGTGATACATTTTCTAAAAAAGATCGTCAAACACCTTCTGTGTGCATAGCATGACAAACAAACACACAAATGTACATTGTATACAGTACATGTTCCAATTGTTTGTCAGACTTTTAATAGCTAAATTATATACATGCTTTAAAGTAATTTTAATAACTATTCCCACAGTATGAACGACTTAAATACTTTTTATATATTACCTAAAAATAATGTGTTTTCTAAGCAAGTCAATTAAGTAGCACCTTGAAAAGCTCCACAACATTATATTATTCTATTTTCAAATATATAACTTGGTATGCTTAACTTAAATATTAACTCTCTCTGTTTGTTATGCTTGTTCAGTTCTTCTTGTCCATCTCGGACTCTGATCAAGATCATATACTGTACTTGAGAAGATAATAACAGATTTCAAAAACACATGGCAGGGATTATTACAAGCACTTTTCTACACGGTAGTAAAAGCCCAATCTTTATTTGAGTTTTGAAACTCTCAAACGTTCTCCGTAGTTACATTTTTCACAATATATGTACATTGAAGAAATTGTGGCAAATGTGAATAATTAACTGTAATAGGAAGAAAGTACTTGATCGTTGTATATTCTTCAACACGGCTTATATTGACGGTTATATTTTTGCTCAAAAATGCTTTCTGAATGCCGGAAATTTTATTTCATATAGAGACAAAATCAAGAAATTTTCGGGGCAGAGGAGTGCTTCCTACTAACACTCAATCCTCTTCTGGAAAAACGTCAGTAGTCCAAACTGCTTGTATAAATCCCTGCAAATGATACATCCTTCTAAACCAAGGCAGCATATTCTGCCTTATATTGCTTCTTGATTGTAGCATATATGTTAGTTAGAAGGTCTGTAAAGACCTTGGGTCTCAACATTGCAATGCAAGGCTATATGAGCTGCCTTGGTATAGACTTCCTCACGAACCATATTTAGGAGGACTTCGTACAGGTGGTAATGGTGGGGTGGAATGCATCCTAGGCAGAGGTTGGCCTGCAGCCCCTGAGATAGGTGGTATAGGGGGGTTATGTTGTGGGGGGAGATGTTTAGGAGGGGGTTGGGTGGCCTGCTGAAGCCTTCGTGTAAGATCTTCTATGCGTATGTCCTTGAGATGCAAGAGATGTTCCAGTCTTCGCACTTTGACTTGGAGAATCTAGAAAGGAATACAAATTATTGTACAAATGAATGCCACAAAGTCAGTTACAGACAAGCAAATTTGTACACTTGTTCAAAAGCTAGTATACTGGCAAGTAATCAAGCACCTGTATCGTTTCTTGCGAGGCCAACAATGATTGCTCCTTTTCTTCAAGTAGTAGTCGAATATTTTGAGGACTGTCTACAGACTGATGAGAATTCTTTTCATGATGTTGCTGCCTTTAAAATAAAGTCATTAAAATTGTTAGTTTTGGTCAAAAATTGGATGAGACATTAGCACAAGCAGGGTTCGTAGTCTCCAAGACCAAAAAAATTCAAAGACTTTCAAAGATTTTTTCTGCCTATTTTCAAAGACTTTTCAAAGACCTTTGAGAGCAATCAGCTGTCGAAAAATTGCTAGTGTAAGTACCATTTTTACCCAGTAATTAGTCCCGTCAAATCACATCCTCAAATGCGCATTTTCGTCGATATTTGCGAAAATCTTGATTCAATCAATCTATTTTATTACCTAAGAAATCGTATAATCAATTCCTCGCTAAAGAATTTAAAGACTTTTAAAGACTTTCTTCGCTTTTTCACACAATTTAAAGATTTTTCAAAGACCTTAAAGACCTGCATTCCAATTTAAAGACTTTCAAGGATTTCAAAGACCGCTACGAACCCTGAAAAGGTTTGTCTTGCTTTCCTGGGCTATAATTTATGCACGACAGTTGATTTGCTGGCCGGGGTATGCTGTGCCTTTCTATAGTTTCATATTTCCATTTTCGTTTGGTGTTCACATGCACCATTAGACAAAGATCTTCTCAATCAACCTACCCTACGTGTGATGTTCTTTTACCAAGCGATGGTTTACCATCGTTACCAGATTCCCTTTTGCGACTGTTCTGACCAACCTTTGGTCCATTCATGTGAGGCTGGTTGAACTCCGGATGAGACGATGTTTGATTGTATGGACTTGCTTGGTAGTGCTAACAAAAAATGCATAGATGCCTTTAATTAATTCAATGTCACTGAACAAGAAATTGTCCTATAACTAAAGCAGAAAAATTAAAAGTACGCTGCCTTAAAGAACTGGGGCTGGTTGTTCAAATGTGGGTTAGTGCTAACCCTGGGTTAAAATTTAACCTGCTGTTTTAGTTTATGTATTTCTGCACGTGTGTTTATTTCAAAACTTCAGAAAAGTGAACTCCTATCGATCCAGACAAGATCTCTGAAGAAATGTTTCCAAATTTATGGACAAGCTGTCAGGAAGTTGGCTTTGAATTTTAGTTTAACCCAGGGTTAAACTAACCCAGCTTTGAACAACCGGTCCCTGCTGGTATAACCGAAGAAGGAGATGGAATAGAGGAAACATTCGCTTAAAGGGTTAACTACACTACAATATTTTTTTAATTAAACAAACCTCTTGATGATTTGTATGCATAGCATAGGAACTGTCTGCCATTTGTTGTTGAGGTACTGCATTGAAGGCATACCCATATGCAGTATAATCACCACCACCTAACCAAAATAATTATATAAGTAGAAAGTTTATAAATACTTCGGGCAAAGTGCCTTATTAATGCATGTGGACTTTGAAATCCCAGTAAAGTCCTAATTTTGTAATTTACATTAATTAAGTTTCAAAGTACTTGCACTAAAAGTGTCCTTTCAAAACACTAATTAAATATTGGTTTTTACTATGTATTTTTTTTGTAATTCAATATGGAGTTTTAGACTGTTAAATTTTAGAAGTTTAGGTTTTGTATTATCCATATGTTTTTATAATTAATTGTTTCTTAAATCATCTATGTTGAGAGAGGCTAGGAATAGATGTTACAGTATGACCTCAAAGGATTTTTAAAGTTTTGATTTTGGTCAATCTTGCTACAGCTGTGTGCAGTTGAGCTCAAATTTCTCAGGTTAAAACTTTGAAAACGGAATTCTGGCGTTTGAAAACCAAGTTCTGCCACTTGAAAAGGGAGTTCTGGCATTTGTAAACTAAGGTACTTCTGGCACTTGAAAACGGTGTTCTGGCATTTGAAAAGGGAGTTCTGGCATTTGTAAAGGGAGTTCTGGCATTTGTAAAGGTACTTCGGGCATTTGTAAAGGTACTTCGGGCATTTGAAAAGGGTGTTCTGGCATTTGAAAAGTGAGTTCTGCCATTTGAAAAGGGAGTTCTGGCATTTGAAATGGTACTTCTGGCATTTGAAAATCAAGTTCTGGCATTTAAAAACCAAGTTCTGGCATTTGCAAACTTAAGGTACTTCGGGCATTTGAAAAGGGTGTTCTGGCATTTGAAAAGTGAGTTCTGCCATTTGAAAAGGGAGTTCTGCCATTTGAAAAGGGAGTTCTGCCATTTGAAAAAGGGAGTTCTGGCATTTGAAAAGGGTGTTCTGGCATTTGAAAAGGTACTTCTGGCATTTGAAAACCAAGTTCTGCCATTTGTAAAGGGAGTTCTTGCGTTTGTCAAAGTGTTGGATCAGGATGTTACCAATGGGGAGTCCCATTCATTTTATTTGCTCACTCATTTTATTAATTACAATGCGAGTTGACTTGTCACTTGTGGTAAGTCTAATGAATTATAATTAATGATTGTGTCATGTACGTACCGTCTATGGTCTGATATGAGGAAGTATCCGACACTGGGTCAGGTGAAAACTCGTCATAAACCTGATGTTGCTTTCGTAATGCTGCAGCTTTTTTCTTAGCTATATATTTATCAATCTACAAAAAGGAAAAACACTCAGTCAGTGTATGTATTAATTATTTAATACTCAGCCAGTGTACAGTATGTATTCAAACACTCACTGGCAGGGTGCAGCTTAATACCGGTACCCAAATACATCCATTCAGTTCCTCAACTAATTGTCACTGAGTTCCAATAAGTTGAACCCACTGTTAGATTTATTAAAATAATAGTGTAGGGCGTGTTAGCTAGGGTATGCAGCCAGTCCATAGTTTCCTCAGAGTTAATTCCTTGAAACATTTCCTATAAATCCTTCAAGAGTTAGAAATTACTTAATAATATGCATAATTTACCTTATTTCTTAGATTTATTAGGAACACTTCAATTGCACCAGATTGGCACTTGCAAACACCATCCAACAAGTCATCGGAAACTTTATATTCTAATCGACCCAGAACTTTTCCTAACAATTACAGTAATTTACTGTTTTTCAAATCAATACAGTACCATGGCACTGTGTCATAATGCTTAACCCATTGAGTGGCAGCACTCTCCCCATGACAAGTAAAATTGTCTGGTGTTAGACATGGTAAAATAATAAATTAGGGTGCATCTGGGTGCATTGACTCTTAAAGGGTTAACAGGGTTCCTGGGCGATAGTCTGATTACCCCATTGAGTGGCAGCACTCTCCTCCTGACAAGTAAACTTATCTGGCATAAGACAGAATAAAATAATAGGGCACATTGCCACTTAATCTCCTGACAAGTAAACTCATCTGGCATTAGAAAGAGTAAATGTATAATTAATTAATAGTAATTATTAATTTAGTAGGGTACATCTGGGCACATTGCCACTTAAAGTGTTAAGCCATTAATTATTTTTGTTATCATTATATAACTTTTCACTTTACTTTGCAAGGTACTCCAATTGTCCTTCTTCTGTGTGATTGAGTTTGCAGCGGAATAGTTATGTATTTCAACCAGCTTGGGTAAGAAGTGACTTACTATTTCTGCCACTAAAACTATAATCAATTTAAACTTGTATTAATTTTAATTTCTGTTGTCAATATTAATTAGGCTGTGGTTATTGTTCCGACACCTGAACTTTAAGTTACTGTATATGGCTATAGATTCAACAAAAGTGTTTTCCTCGTTCTTTAAACATGCTGAAATGATACCAAATAGATTTTAGTTGATTTCAAGCAATTCCTCTGTAGTAGAGTGGTAAAGGCACTTGGCTTTGCATACGCTATCATCCGGATCAAATCTGGGAGTGGAATTTCAAGTGTATGTGTAGTTCTTCTACCTGCGAATGTGTAGAACGGTTAGCGTAAGAAATATAGTTAGAGTAGGAGTCCAGGACAGGTTAATAAAAAATTTATTGTCCATAAACATGAATATTGTATGTACGCATGTCAGATAAATAGCCAGCCATAGAACCTAAAGTTCTGGACTTCTGGTGTCGGGTGAACAACCGCATAACCATTTGGGTTAGCACTATTTTCCATCCAGCAAACTGACCTGACGTCATTTTCGGAAGATGGAAGAGGTGTTGAATGGCTATGTAACTGACCCAAACCCTACTCTAACTGCAACCCTAACTCTAACCCTAACCGAATTAATAAAAAATCCAAAAAGAAACGACTTTAGAAAATCGATAGGGCGGTTTGCTGGATGGAAAATAGTGCTATAAACCATCTATTTGTCAAGACATTACTGACGGACCTGTTTGTCTTTAGTTAATCTGTGGTTCTATCACTGACAAACCCAATTATTTAAAACCTCAGCAAGTTTAATCTGAATGGGTACTTAGCACGAGAAAACAAATATTTGATGGCATGTTTTGGTAGAGTGATTTATATACCCAACTGTCTGTGGTTGTGCGACATGCTGAGCCAGTGCAGATAGTGCAAATAATATCAACAAGCGGGATGCAATTACTTTTAGGGATGCAATTACCCAAAAAATATAAGGAGAATTTTCTTCGCTCGAAACGTCGAAATTCTCCTTATATTTTTCAGAAATTCGGGTACTGTAGTTGCCATCCCTAAAGTTTGTTTATATTCAGCATATTGTGGTATGTTGTGTTTTTGATAGTACATGTATTGAATAATCACTCGGATACGGTAAACTGAAGTATTCCCATATTCCATATAAACCTCACACTACCTCCATCACTAAAATCACGCGCTATATTTCGCTTTGGTCTTGACAAAGGAATCTCGTCGATCCAAGTATACAATACTTGTAGCGTTTCATCGTCTAAATCATCCATAGTTTTTATTTCTCCGCCATTTTCCATAGCGAAATCCTTGGCAAGTATTTCTGCTCAGAAATTCCTCGCCAAAACATCTAGATTTTCACAGCAAGTGAGCGTAAATTGAACATTTCTGTCATTGTTTTGAACAAATTGAGACCGCCATCTTGACTTCGTTTTCGGCTGTCCGTTGCCATGGTAGCAAAGCTTTTGATGTGATTTATGCCATAAATTATAGCACAGTTAATAATTTATGCCATAAATTAAAAGCAATTTATGCAACATTAAGCCACAGAATAGGAAGTTATACCAGAAGCGTAACTCGAGCAAATATTTGTCCGCGTTTTTACAAGCGATTCGTCATCAATCACGCCATCCTGGCTAGTACAACCGGCACTTTGTACCTACCAAATCCTGATAAAAACTTCCGGCTGTACTAGCCAGGATGGCGTGGCCTGACGTGGCGAGTTAAAATTTTCGTGGACGTCAAACAATAAGGGAAACGACTAGAGTTACGCTTCTGGTATAACTTCCTATTCTGTGATTAAGCGGTGCTGAAAAGTGAAAAATTACCAAAATTTTCAAGCACAAAAGTGTTGAACACTTTTATTGGTAAGCCAATAAAATGTTGAACATTTTCCGGTTTATGTTTAGTCATAAAATTTCAAATTGTCTTATCTCAAAGGAAAGCATCGTATAAATACTGCACATATAAATCATGTCACAAATCTATAACCAGCTAACAAGCTTCATGCTTACTGACTGGGCTAAGCGAAACCTTTGAATGCTCGTTTACAGACATCAAAGTTTCCCATTGGTTTCCCATGAGAATACGCAGTGTTGCTATCTACAGCTGTTCATTCATTGATGCAAACGACGGTAGGATTACGTGTCCCCACGAGAGATGCCCACGCGTGGGATCAATGTCCACGCGTGAATCGGGACGACTTCGCGGAAACTCTCATGGCCACTTTTTTCGCAGCAACATGAATGTGAAAATATGTATTTACACAACTTTTTCTGCTGAGATTTGGACGGTTTTGGCGTGGTGATGCGAGCTAGTAATGACGATGCTTTTATACTTTTAAACTATGTCTCAACAGGCACGACCGAGCGTGCCTGGCAAGGAAAAGATGCGACAGAAATCATGGACTCAAGACAGCGATCAAGATTGGCAACATTTTGCAGCTGGCGCCGGTGCGAGCGCGATCAATATCCTTGCTACATATCCAGTATTTAAAGTAACGTTTCGGCAACAAGTCGATGGATCGAGGCTTCTTGTTGCTTTAGCCCAGATAAAGAACGAGGGTTTTCATTTCCTCTACCGAGGCGTTTTGCCACCGTTGTTACAAAAAGCCGTATCAGTCTCTATTATGTTTGGACTTTATCACAGATTTAAAAGAGACCTAAATAACTCGTTTCCGCAAATCCCAACACAGATTAACAACAGTGTGGCAGCCATTCTTGCCGGTTCGGCCGAGGCCATCCTTACTCCGTTCGAGCGAGTCCAGACTTTACTATCGCATCGAAAGCATCACGATCGATTCCTGAATACACTTCACACATTCCGAGAGTTACGGGTCTACGGTATGAAAGAGTACTACCGAGGGCTAACCGCCATCCTTCTGCGGAATGGTCCGTCGAATGCAATCTTTTTCGGATTCCGAGGTTACCTAAAGGACATGTTACCGGAAGCGCAGACTAGTTTTGAAAATACCATTCAGGATTTTATATGCGGTGCCCTGCTCGGCGCTACTAATAGTACCATTTTTTACCCTCTGTCTGTGGTTAAGTCGAACATGCAAAAACATGTCGGCGGCGAGTACTGGAGCGTACAAAAGACATTTCAGAGTATTTTTGAGACTCGTTGTCGACGTATATCCCGTGTGTATCGAGGGGCGTTCATGAATTGCTCACGAGCCATTGTGTCGTGGGGCATAATTAATGCATCTTTTGAAATTATATTATCAGGCCTTAGGTATATTAGCTGATAATAATATATTTGCGTGGCTTTTTAATAATATATAATGAAGTTTTTAATAGAGTAGATGAACTGAAAAGAAAGAATGTAATAAAATATATTTATTTTGAAAGAATTAGTCAACAGGGCTTTAGATTTACCTAATTTGGGCATTCAAGGTGTTAGCCAGAAAAATATTAGAAAATTTGCCAATTTAACCCTTTATGTGGCAATGCGCCAACAGGGAGCCCATCCCGGGTCTTATTGGGTCATTCCAGAAAAGATCCACACTCCCCCACGGAGGAAATATGACCCGGGATGGGCTCCCTGTGATGCGCCCAGATGTGCCCTACTTTTATTATTTTACTCTGTCTAACGCCAGATTATTTTACTCTGTCTAACGCCAGACGATTTTACCCGTCAGGGGGAGAGTGCTGCCACTCAATGGGTTGGTGAAATTGGGAAGGTCAGTTAGCCTTCTTGTGGCCCTATGTATGTGGCATTTACACCAGTTTTCAATATGAAAACTAAATCGGCCTGAAGTTTTTTCACCCTCATTGAGGACGCATTTCTAGATATATGCCAATGTATTAGGCTAATGTAGGTCATGCAAAAGCCATTTTTGTGGAACGAAAAAAAACCAGCAATGAAAAATCTAGAAACATTTTTAGGCTTAGCTTGCTTTTGTGATTGAATTCTTGTGATGTATGAAATATAGGATTTTGGCCCTGTTATTCACAACAAAGAGCATAAAATATAAATTTTACAACATAAGTTGCATAAATTAGCGTAATATTACTGATACATTTCTATATATAATTGTTTTATATTTTCTTTAATCGAGCTGTTGTTCATCTTTCTCCGGAGGTTTTATTTTTCTGTGAGCCATCCAATCCGGCAATAGGTTACCATGGCTGTGCACGATTTTCTCTAAGAAAAACTGACAGGAGAGAAACGATTAAACGAACGAATCAATCACAACTGGGTACACATTTGGCTGATGCTTGTTCAAATAGCCATTTCACAAAGTTTGGAAACAATTTAGATAGCATATTTTCAGTTTGAATACCAGGTTAAGAAATGCTGGTATCCACATGGAACTAGATCATGGAACAGATACCAGAAAAATTCCAATCTCTTGTTCTTCATAAAGTTATCCAAGTTTGGATAACTTTATATGAAGGGCACGAGATTGGAATTTTTCTGGTGACCTAGTGAGGGACGCTGGACCTAGTTCCATGTGGATACCAGCATTTCTTAAACCTGGTATTGAAGCTGAAAATATGCTATCTGAATTGTCAAAATAAGTAAGCACCCCCCCCCCCCTTCCCAGGTTAAGGGGAATATTTTGCGCAGAAAATTTTTTCCTTGGGAAAAGTGCGCAGAAATGTTGGATATTTTTCCGAAAGCGGTTTTTGTCAAATCGAAACTCGAATAATCCGAAATCTTCTTGGTTCCGCACGCGTGTGGGTCTTGCGCATTATTCACTCGCAAGGCATTTTGTGCGGATTCTTCAGAAATTACTCGCATGAAAATCAATTTCTTCCGAAGCCAAAATCTAGACACTTTCAGATATTGCTCAAAACTAGCATTGGCCCACAATTTTTAAAAATAACTATAGGTCAGAAAAAATTCTTAATTCGCAACCGGGTAACTATATAATATAAGTTGGCCAAAGTTTTGAATTAACTGATTTAACTCCATGACCCTAGAGAAGCTAGCAGATATATTTCATACTTACTTGCAACGCTTCTTGCACGCTCGTTTTGCATAGCTCGTATAGTGGAAGACTTTGGCTAATCAAACATAGTTTGGACTGAAATAACAAGAAATACATAATGTAAAATAGCTAGATTGATGCTTGTGATGTTACTCTGAGTGTATATCCACACCGCGCAAGCTTGAAAAATATGCCTGTCCACGGTGGGAATCGAACCTACAACCTTTGGAATACTAGCCCACCAACACAGAAAAAATAACATTATAACTAGATTACATTGATATCGAAGGAACTAGATTCAGTTCCGAAATATAACACACTCGAACCGTCCTGACCGCGTAGCTCAGTTGGCAGAGCTTGGGCTAGTATTCCAAAGGTCGTAGGTTCGATTCCCACCGTGGTCAGGCATATTTTTCAAGATGTGAGTAACATCACAAGCATCATATTCACCTGAGTACATTACACCAACACAGGAAAAATATATCTAGATTGGTCTTAAAATTTGAAACAGTTCAAAGTCCGCGAGAGTTGATGAGATTTGGCAGCCAAACGCGAGCGATTGTTGCAACTCTCGACAACTCTCATTCACATGTCTCCTACCTTGATGTGCGAAAGTGTTTCGACATCGTCTTTAGAAAATGGAACAAATTTTTGGAGATGAGTGTCGATCGCGTCATCGTCTTCTACCTCCAGCTCTTGAGCTTTTTCACACAAATTGTCAAACCTAGAAAATATTAGCGAGAGTTTTCAACAAGTTTAAAAAGAGACTTGGGTCTGTCTGTGTATGATCGGATGTGAAGTTTAATTTACTTTAAATGTTTAGGTTGTAAACTATTGCACTTGGCATTCTTATTGATAAATCAAAACAATTGAATCTGGGGGCAAAGAAGTTAAGAAGGGAATAGAAAAACAATGTAGTTTTTACCACTTTGAGCTGGACTTCTGTCCTTCTGACCTAAAATGATTATCGCCACCCAGCAACTGACCAAGGTGCCAGAGAGCCTATCTGGCCACCTACCCTGGATATTGACTATGACTGGAAACTGAACTGAAGTAAACTTATTTTGGTAACTCTCGCAACTCCTTGCCTATACAAACTGTTCTGTTTTGAGATTCAGTATGGATTATCTTTTCATTAGAGACCTTACGCCGGATTTTAGGACGGCGAAAACAAACTCCTTCAAATAAATGGTAGTAAAGATAGTTCGTGGTATATTATCAATCGTATGAATTTAATACAGTTTTAGAAGTTGAAGACATGGGTTTTATGGTTGGGAAGAATTCTGCTAAACCCAGTTTGAAGTTGCACTTGTTGCGGCTTGGAATGCAGCCGTTGTATATCAAGACGTGAAAATCTGTGATTTGGCGTTGTAAACAAAGCGAGGATAATGTCGAAATTATTCATATACAGTAATTATTCAATTCTTTTCAATGATCTATTGTATTGATAGCCGTTGCCGTCGCGTTGCCGTACTAAAATCGTAAGGTCTCTATTGTTTCTTTAGAGAGGTTCAGATATTAAAATTTATTTTCCACTATACCGTTCCCCAGTGAGATGCAGCATGTAATCTACCCAATTGGCCCATCAAATGCGTATCAAGCCTGTGAGCGGTACTGGAAGCCCAATCTGAACCTCGCTAATCTAGTAGCAAAGTAGGAAACCTCCGTTGGGCCACAGAATAAAGATCAGTACCAGAAGGGCCACTCAGCGGTGCGACGTGTCCTCGTTTTTTTTACGCAAAAATAAGCAGTTTACTAGCCAGAAGGCGGGGCATCCAGCCCAGTACAGCGCGTGTTTATTGGCCAGAAAATGTCATTGACTGGCTAGGAAAATGGCGGCCAGCGACGACAGAAACTTCAAAGCTTCCGACGTAAGTGGCCCTTCTGTATGGATCTTTATTCTGTGGTTGGGCTGCGCCCTTCCTCTATCGATATCACTCCATGTCTATTTGTCAACCGCGAGCACTTTTTCTATACAATTTGCAACATAACTAATTCTTGTCATCTCATAACAGACGTCCACGCTGTAATAATACGTACCACCCTGAAGGTCGGACATTTTGGTCATGGTAGTCCTGTTGTAGTTTATTGGTTGATCTTCTCATGCTTGGAATATCGTGTTCCAACAGGTGAGATAGCTTTAATGCTCCTAACTTGATACGAAATACTGGCTTCTCTAGTCTGAAGAGAGAAACATGGGGATATTGTAGAGACAAATAGAGCTTTCCCCTTTTAAGTGAGATTTTGATCAAGACAAGTCTTGACAAAAATTTCACCACAGCTTGAAAGACAGCTTGAAAGGGCATCACAAAATTAGTAATATTCCAAAGTTTCGTTGCGAAATGTTGTAAAATGCGGATAATATAGCCTTGCGAAGTTTGCCGTTTTTCAGTCATTTAGATTACAAACGGGAAATTGATAATCAGATAATCAAACTCATTATCAATTTCCCATTTGTAATACAAAATGACTGAAAAACGGCAAACTTCGCAAGGCTATATTATCCGCATTTTACAACATTTCGCAACGAAACTTTGGAATATTACTAATTTTGTGATGCTCTTTCAAGCTGTGATGAAATTTTTGTCAAGACTTGTCTTGATCAAAATCTCACTTAAAAGGGGAAAGGTCTATTGTTGAAGGGATTTGTAGCGGATGAAAATGCATGGATGATTTCAGGTATAGAGGAAATTTTGATCTAGGTTGCAAGAAGAACGAAACCATTATCATAGCTGGAAAGGGCATCTTAAAATGAGTAAAATTGCAAAGTTTGGTTGCGAATTGTCGTAAAATGAGGAAAATATAGCCCTGTGAAGTTCGCAAGTTTTCGGTATATATTTGTATTACGCGCGTGAAAAATAACCATTTTTCAGCCGAAAGTGGTTATTTTTACCGCGCGTAATACAAATGTGTACAAAATTTGTGCAACCAAACTTTGCAATTTTACTAATTTTAATATGCTCTTTCTATCTGTGGTGATGGATTTGTTCTTCTTGCCTAGATCAAAATTTCGTCTATAGCTGCAATTGCCTATTAGAGTTCCAGCGAATGAATCAGGAACTTGTGTCTTGTACACAATTGAGAAGAAGAGAACATTTCTTTCTTACTTTTCAATTCTCTTCATGTCATCATGAAGTCGTTTCGAACATCTTTTCTGAGCCTCGAGATATTCTTCTTTAAGCTGATCCAAATTCAGTCCTCTTGGCCTCTCTGATTTCCTGGAAAAAATAGGTTGTCTTGCAGTTAGAATTATGCGTGGTTTCTCGGATTTTCCAATTCAGAGGAGTAGTTTAGGGATTATGTAAATTGGACGCGAATATTTCATCATATTACCTTGAGATTCCAGGCTTTGATCTTTTTTCGTCTAATTTAAAAATTTACTTTAGTTTTTCACTGACAAAGTGGATAAACTACCAATTAGTGCACTATTCGACTGTCTCGTTTAACGGCAACAATTAACAATCCCTTTACGAGTAAAACTTTGCGAGTTATATTAGACAGAGTAAAATTACAAATTGGGTGCATAATGACAAAATAGCTATGAAGATATATAGTTAGCTAAACGTACTTCTTTCATTTGTTGCTACTTGTTGCCACACTGGCAATGTCTGTACTTGACCCAGCTCTGAATTATTTCCAGTATTTGTTATCATTCCGAGAAACTGCCCTCGCCTGGAAGAAGGTACTATTATGATTAGACAATTCTTGGACTTGTCAAATAGCCCATGCATTGTCGTACAAAACTTGAAAATCCTTGAAAATCCTTGAATTTGGAAACAAAAATTTAAGGCCTTAAATGTCCTTGAGTTTATAAAGAAGTGCTTGAAAGTCCTTAAATTGTTCTTGCTTTAGTGGATATTTTCTGAAATTGTTTGGAATTAAGAATTGAACATTTTGTAAGTTGATTCTGTTCATGTCTTACAAAGGCCAAAGCTGTTTGAAATTCATTAAAGTTGCCGTTTAGTTTAACATCACTGTTTACTGATTTCTAACGCCTTTTTTTCAGCCCCTTCATTTCTTGAATTTCCTGATACAAAGCCTTGAAAGTCCTTGAATTTAACTCTTTCTGGCCTGTACGAACTCTGTTTAGTCTTTTAGTGATTACCTTTTAACAGTACATACTGATAACAAGGTTCCCTGCAGACTACAGCGACTGATTCCAGCTCTACTGGATGGATTATCTTGACCTGCAGGCAAACTGCCAGGCTCTGGAATATCTTCTAACGTACCAGATCGTGCCAGCATATTTTTCATACTAAATAATAAGAAATGAATGTGGCACGTGCCTGTAAGTGCAGCAGGAATGATACATTCATTATTAATAGTGACATGAAAATTCGGGGTGTACAGTATACGCGTAAAAACTTCACAGCTTGTTAACGAGATGTGTTCGTACTGCTTGTTCCCAGTTGTTGACAAGTCTGGGACAAATTTGTATCATCTTGTAACAAGGTTGATGAGGCCAACAGACTTGCAACAAGTTGTTATACAAAGTTTGATATCATCTGCACGTATAACAAGTTGTTAATACGTTGATGACAACAAACTCGTAGAAACTTATTGTTACGAACGGCCTGCATTAGTCTTGTTGGAACAACTTGTAGCAAGTCGATCCATTACCGTCATCAACCTTGTAACAAGGTGATGACAACTTGTTCCAGACTTGTCACAACAACTGGGAACCATAGATATCTTATATACACTAGATAGTGCATCTAATTATTCTGCAATTCAAAAATTGAAGACGTGATTGCAGTCTCAGGTCGTTCCCATGAAATTAGAAGATTCGTATGTTTCCTATTTCTTAAACATGGAACTTAAACATTAAGTTAACCCTATTCCAAATTCGTTTTTAAAATATTCAAATGATGAAAGTTATTGTTGTTTTTAAGTGTTTATTAGCAAGTGGGAACGACCAGCATGGCCGCCATCTATTCAAATGGGAGTAACCGCTGGAATATTCTTGGCTTCAATTTTACTAAAAGAGATGCGCTATCTAGTGTATATAAGATATCTATGCTGGGAACAAGCAGTGCGAACACATCCGGATAAAGTGGTAAAATAACACAATAGTCGCAACTTCATACCGCTTAGCTGGAAAACCAGTACTTTGCTTTTCTGAAGTAGAACCGCATTCTATCGCTGATGGTCGTGAAACGTTCGGCAAGGACTCGTTAGGGACCGTACTGGTCACTCGGTCCGAGTCGCTTCCTCTGATGTGAAAAGAATCTGTTGAGCCCTCGTTATTTTGGGCATTGGTAATTGTAACTCTCTGATGTCTGATGGGCTTTCCTTTGGCGTCCAAGGGTACATCTGTGTTGATCACTTTCAGATAGTCTCGACTGAGTGGTACCTAAATGTATTAACAGAGACAAATTATGAAGACTTAAGCCCTGGGAAAACTAGGAAACATTGTTGTGGAAACATTTGTGATTCTCGATGTTTCCTCAAATGTTTCCATGTTTGCCCAACCGTGGAAACATTTTGCGGAAACAAAATTTGCTTCCCGAGAAACAAAAATGTTTCCTAGCAAATTCAGAAACATTTTATGTTTCCCTATGTTTCTCACTAGTGTTTGCTCACTCTGGGAAACATGGCGAAACATTGGTAGGAAACAATGTTTCCGCAACAATGTTTCCTAGTTTGCCCAGGGCTTTATCGTATTATCTAACTTTATGCATACTGGATAGCTCTATCAGTTCTTCTCTTATTATTAATACCTTAGTGCGTAGATCTCGTGTCTTCAAATGATACACGCAGCGTATCAGGGAGTAGAGAGCTTTAAGAAATGCCACGAAATTCTTACACTTGCGTTTATGGTACTCTCTGAAAAAAATCAAAATTTATGTTTTAACATTAATTTAACACTTCCACAATTTCGCTTTTGAGAAGAGTAGATTGCTTCCAAACACCCCCACTGGATTGGTTTTCTTCGTGTAGGATAACGTATGGCCCCTTAGAATGACCGCTTAGTCGGGGGAACAATTAATTAGATTGAACTTACAGAGACTAGAACTAAAGTTACTTTACGGGGAGTCATTTAGGTACTGCTAGGTCGGTAATCCGAGCAATCAGTAATATGTTGGCAATCTAAGACCAGAACATGTTGGCAATCTAAAATCGTATTTTAGAGCCAGTATTTCACGTATGGTGTGCAACCACATCCAAGTTTCTTACCTTCACTTGCGGATAGCCGCAACTTGCGTAATGAGGTTTTAGCTATAGTCACGTGATGCATAGCTATCAATCAGAAAGCAGTAACCATTCTGCAGTATTTAACACAGCGTGCAATATTTAGCACTAACTTACTGTAGTTCGCTTGCATCCAACTTTCGCGTTTCTTCAAGCGTTGTGTCTTCAATATTTCCAACGGACTTTCTCGACGCCAGCACGGACTTCTTTCTGATGTATGGTGGGCCAAGTGGGGTGTTGAGTGTGAGTTGCGTCTCAAGCTTTTGTTCTTCTAGAATTTCAAGCATCTAGAATATACAGTAGGAAGGGTTTCTGTAGTAGTGAGAGCACTGCATTCCTACCGGAGGACATGAAGTTTTCGCTTTGTCATCTACAAAATCCCTTCATTATTTAATTTTTTAATTATTATTATTATTTAATTGCTTTTCCATCACTACTGTACAGAAACATACACACACATACACACATATACATACATAACACAATGACATAAACTGAGTTGATGGTTGGGTATCCGCAACAGCCTGAAACCAATTACTGCGGGCCCAAAACGTTAAGAGACAAATATCAATAACACAAATAACAATTAAACCATAGAGACTAAAAACAACAGTTCATCGAGTTTGTTAAAGTCCTTGCTCTATTGCATTTCGGGCAAATCGTTTTAAAAGTTCGTACATCATCACAATCGTATGTGTTCGTTAATGCAGTATGGTAGTACTCTCGCATTACAGACTTGAATGCGTTGAAGTTCTCCATACTCAAGTCAAGTATGACCGTCAATGTGTTCCATGTTCTGATGGTTCTTATCCAGTATGATCTTTGGTAGGTTGTTGTTTTGCACCGCAGGACTTCGTACTTTACACCTTTCGTGTTAGTGGACGATCTTGTATATCTTGTTGTCTTGGCGTGCAAGGCAAAGGACGAGCTGGATTATCCTCTTCTATAGAGCGGAATGCCCAAGTAATTGACTTAATTATGAATCGGGTATTTAGATCGAGCTTATTACCTTTTTCTTGGAACCTACTTTCCTTGGTTTACATACAGAGCGAGCTTCGTTGGCGCACATACACTTTCACCTCTGAGATTCTCGCTCCGGACACGTGATGCTTATGTGAAAAGACAACGCTCTACCGAAAGTCGTGGGTTTTCTCCGGGTACCCCGGTTTCCTCCCACAGGGAATAGACAGATTTAGATCGAGGACGCGGACGTCAAAGACGACGTGAAAATGACCTCAAAATGGCGTGGCATATCCATACATGGGCACATACGCCATTTTCACGTCGTCTTTGACGTGCCCGTCCTCGCGATCTAATTAGAGACCTTACGATTTTAGGACGGCAACGGCTACCAATACAATAGATCATTGAAAAGAATTGAGTAATTACAATAAATGAATAATTTAGATATTGTCCTCGCTCTGTTTACAACGCCAAATCACATATTTTCACGTCTTGGTACAACGGCTGCATTCCAAGCCACAACAAGTGCAACTTCAAACTGGGTTTAGCAGAGCTCTTCCCAACTATAAAACCCATGTATTCAACTTCTAAGACTATAAAGACTGTATTAAATTCATACGATTGATAATATACGACGAACTATCGACTACCATTTATTTGAAGGAGTTTGTTTTGGCCGTCACCGTCGCGGTTGCCGTCCTAAAATCGTAAGGTCTCTAATCTGTCTAATGTTGACAGGGTGAGTTGGGTTTAGCCCCTAACTGACCCTTCCACCGTAGCTGTACTCCGTGATCAGATGGTTAGAACTATTTTCCATCCAGCAAACTGACTTGACGTCATTTTTGGAAGATGGAAGAAGATGGTTATGTAACTAACCCTACCCCTACTCTAACCCCCAACCCTACCATACCCCTACTCTAACCCCTAACTCTACCCTACCCCTACTCTAACAGTCTAACTCTAACCGCAACCCTAACCGAATTAATAAAAAAATCCAAAAAGAAAGACTTTGGGAAATCGATAGGGCGTTTGCTGGATGGAAAATAGTGCTAATCGACATGAGTCATAAGATGGCTTCCAGAGCGGTCCTTCTCAGGTTGGGTTGCGTCCTTTCTAACTCAGTTCAGATCTCATCATCTCAGCTGCAAGTAAGGCCGGGTGATTAACATACCTCCACTTAAATTCCTTGCTTACGTACTTTCGCTTTAGAGATACGTACATGACGTACTAACCTTTCTCTGATTTTCTTCACGTAAGCAATACTCGTAACTCTGACCTGCACGTATAGCGGCTAATCGAGTCTTCATTAGTGCCAGTCTCCCGCCTATTGTCGAGGTCATGCTCTTGTTCGTATACTGCTCTTTGCCTTTGACTGACTTGCCACTTTCGTCATCAAACTGAATGAAATTTACACATACACTTTATTAAGCCTGGTGTACACTATCAAAGTTTCTGTGATCACAGAAAGAATTTTGCAAAGGTAAATTCTACGTATTGAAGGATTTGTAAGAAATGTTTGAGGAAACTGACTGAGTGTTATAAAGGATGGTTTACACTATCAAAGTTTCTGTGATCACAGAAAGAATTTTGCAAAGGTAAATTCTACGTATTGAAGGATTTGTAGGAAATGCTTGAGGGAACTGAGTCAGCGTTAATTAAACACTTCAAACATTCCTTACAAATCCTTCAAAACTTAGAATTTACCTTTGCAAACTTTTTACTGTGATCACAGAAACTTTGATAGTGTAAACCTGCAGTCTTAAGAAACTCGAGAAGGGAAGTGGATCAGACCAGTTATCATCTTCGTAGTAGTGCAACATATCTGACACTTCCCAAACCAAAAAGAGATTTTCTTAAGAGAAGTTTCAAATATAGCTGGCCTATGCCCTGAAACAGTAGCGGAAATTCACTTTTTCTGGTGGGGGGGCAAAGCCTCCTAAATTTCCGACAAAACTTTCAAATTTCCGACATACCCCCCCATTTGCACTCGAAAAGACTGTTTTTAGCCCTCTTTTAGGTCAACATTTCCGACAATTCATCAATTTTCTGTGAAGGTGAGGGGGGGGCGCCCCCTCGCCCCCCCCCAAGATTTCCGCCACTGCCCTGAAATCAACTCCCGGCAAGCGAAACAAAATGAACTGAGTCTCTCAACTCATTTAAGAGACTCGTTTGAATCGTGCCAAGCTCTATATATTTCTATATTTTGTATATATGTGCGTTTTAGTAATTAGTTTAAATTATTTATTTTTTTATAATAATTTATCTGTATATTTCAACACTCTCCCCCAGCCCAGCCCAGCCTTGAATCGTGTCTTTTCAAATTTATATTTTAAATAATGTATAACTAATCAACCATACCTTTAAGTAATGTGGATCTGTGGTCTTATTGCGTAGTCTCTCCCATAATGAGAGCTTGGCTAACTCTGTTGGCTCTTTTTCTGGACTCTAGGAGAAAAACTACTTAAAGAAACTGGACTGAACTTTATTCTTTCAACGGCAATATATATTTGTTTATTTCTTTAAAGTTTCATCAGTGCCACGAACGTTTGTTCCCATTCCAAAGGGCGTAATCAGCGCTGTTTGTCGCGTCTTTTTCCCAACCTATACATTGGGAGTGTCGAGTTTGAGGCAGTACTTTCCTTTCCTAGCGAAAATACATCCTAGACGATGTTATATACGATTCCAAGCAGTCTACGTCCGCACTCGAACGTGTCATCTGCAGTTGTATACGCACTGGTAATATTAAAGGCTCGTTATAGTCCCTTGTCTCTATAGATGTCACTGTAAGGGGTGGAGGCTATTACTATTTTTGCAGGTCATTTACTAATGAGTTCCCATTGTTCCCATGCAGAAGCTAATATACTCATCTTGAACTGAATAGAGGAAAATTTTAAAAGCAATGGACCTTTCCCCTTATAACTAAAATTTTGATCTAGACAAGTCTAGACGAAAATTTCAACTTGAAAGAGCATCACAAAATTAGTAATATTCCGAAGTTTCGTTGCGAAATGTTGTAAAATGCGGATAATATAATATAGCCCTGCGAAATTTGCAATTTTCAGTCATTTTGTATTACAAACGGGAAATTGATGCCCCAACACCCGATTGGGCTGTCAATTTCCCATGCGTAATACAAAATGACTGAAAAACGGCAAATTTCGCAAGGCTATATTATCCGCATTTTACAACATTTCGCAACGAAACTTTGGAATATTACTAATTTTGTGATGCTCTTTCAAGCTGTGATGAAATTTTTGACTAGATCAAAATTTTAGTTATAAGGGGAAAGACCCATTAATGTCTGCATTTACTAGCGGGAGAGCTAACTTAGTGGCAATATGCTCATCATCCTTACTTGCAGCTGAGAGTTAAGCTGAATTGAATGAGCTATATAGGTATCTGGACTCAGGAGCAACAACTTCAGTACGTCATTTAGCCTATGAGAAAGTTAAGCCAAGATGGCGGAATTGACATCGAATAGCTATGACGGTTGTAGACAGTTTTAATACCATTTTCCCCAGCTAATTCCAGTTTTTGCTAACGGACTGTATCGTTATCATATATATCAGTTCATAAAACCACAGTGTTATTCTTTAAATCGAAGTCAAAATACGTAATTTCGGCACATTCCTGGCAGACCGCGCAGACAAAAACAATAGAGAAAGGGAATGAAACTGACTTGCAATAACTCCATCCTTGGCTCGAGTTCTCGAATTTCAGAAATATTGACCGAATGAAGAAAAAAAGATAGTGTCGTTTGATTGCGAAACTAGACAATAAAAGTACAAAAGGTAAAACGTCATGGTTGCCATGGTTGCCACCGTTCCAACCAGTGAACTCTATGGACAGCGAAGGACCTCCGAAGTCTGAACCTTCCTGGAAATGATCATATTGCCTTGAAAAAATTGGTTGAAATCTAAAATATTTTAGAAAACCGGCTGTATGCATGGAGCCATATTCGATTCTTTATCACCTTACCTTGGCGCCTAATGTTTTGAGCACCAGTTCTCTAAGGTCCAACTCTAGCTCGCCAAATGTTTCGTACGGTTTCGCTACGGGCGAGAAGAAACCACGAGTTGTTTGTTGTTTGTGTCTATCGTACTTGAGTTTCCACGCTTTCTTTGACCTGATTGGTTTATAGATTGTCTCATTTCGTATATGTATCTTCGCGCCCAACGGCCCTCGCTCTGAGGCCTTTGTTGTTGTTGCTGTTGTGCTTTTGTTCTCAAAACATTGCTTCACCTGTTGAAAAGAAAATGCTTCAACATTATTTGTCGCAATAACTGTAAACGTGACTAAAGAACATAAAAGCAGTCTTCTATTTTTGTCATGTCTGAAAGATCCATGACGCTTCTTAGTCAATATTTATTAACCCGTTGAGTGGCAGCACTCTCTCCTTGACAAGTAAAATCATCTGGCGTTAGACAGAGTAAAATAATAAAGCAGAGCGCATCTGGGCGCATTGCCACTTAAAGGGTTAAATAATTAAAGCCTCGTAAAGACGGGCAAGTTTTCCTTGACTGGCAAGTTGTATTCGTTCGTGTGTACGGCAAAAAAATTGAGACAACTTTTCCTTGCCAAGGAGCTAAGTTCCAAAGCTAGTCATCATGCCAGGTTTTGGAGAAGGAAAATTTGTTCTTGTGTACGGCCGCCAAAGGAAAACTTGACAAGTGTACAGGAAATACTTCTATGATTCTGACAGGCGACCTTGCACACGAGCGGCAAAATTTGTCAAGGAAAACTTGTTGACAAGTACACACGAGAAGGTAAACTTTTCCAGGAAAGCTTGTCTGTCGTTAGACAGAGTAAAATAGCTGATAAAGTAGGGTGCCGATTTGGGCGCATTGCAGCTTAACGGGTTAAACTCGTGTGTAAAGTATGTGTATACAACTCCTTAACACACTCAATCATTCGGACTTATAACATGAACAGCTGCATCGACTATATAGGAAAGTATACAAAAAAGCCCAATGCACGTTTCTCCACAGAGTAAGTGCGCAGCTGTTTAAAAGAACTCGTCCAATGGGACGGACGTTTTCAAGAGAACGAAGCAATTGCATCAGTGTTCTGAACAGTTGATGAGAGTTGGCAAGCGAGAGTTTGCATGAGAGTAAACTGAGTTGAGGAGAGTTGGCAAGCAAGAGGTTCCTCAACTCTCATGCCCCGGTTAAACGAGAACAAGAATTGCACGAGAGTTGACTGGATATTACCCCGCGCGTAGCGAAAACTCTCATCAACTCTTATCAAAATCTGAACCAGTTTAACGTTGATGAGAGTCGATTAGAGTAGGTGACGAAACGCGAACGAGATCGAGCAGCAACTCTCATCCTCGTTCAAACAGAGGTTATGTATTCAATGAGTACGGTATTAAAATGTCCAGATACAAGTATTGAGTGATATCGTCTGATCAGTATCAATCGCGCTGTGCGGAAGTATCGCTGGTCCTAATATACTTGATCACTGGGTACTATATGTATCACAGTATAATGTGCGTATTTTTATAAAATGAAATCTCATACCTCTTTTGTGATTTCTACCACTGGATTTATTTGTGTCGCTTGCACCACGTAAGAAAATCCCACCATAGTTTTAATACCCCACGCACAGGGCTAGCTATGATTACTTTACAAATGTCGAAAACAGCGAGATGTTGTTAAAATTCATTCAAAAACGACGGGCGCCTATTTTTTCAACTGTTGGACGTTTTTCGCAATGCGAGACTCGCATGACGTCACAATCAAGTTGCGCGCGCTGCTTAGCAACGGTCAACAGATTTATCGCTCAATGATGACGTCGAAGAAGAATGATAGAGCAAAAGAGAGTGATCCTGTGAGGACGAACATTGGCAAAGTATAAGTAGTTAATCTGAGTAAAGGAATACCAAATGGTTTTCCGTGCTGGATAGCGTCATCCTTTGGGATATTACGAGACTTTCGGAAAGCGTTATGCCGATTCTCCACTTGCGAATTTTTTCTCGCTAATCGACTTTATTCTTTTGTTTCTGAGATAATTAGTTCCAAATGGTTCCAGCCGAAAGCTCGAGGACAAAAGCAAATAGTCGGTTCCCCCCTAAAATAATTCGCTAGTGGAAAATCGGTTTAAAAAATTACAAAACTAATGCTGGTCCGAAAAAAGTGTGCATGCATTTTAACAAGACATCTATTTTATAACAACACGTTTTTTTAAAAACAGTTTTTAAAATAGATGTGTTGTTAAAATGCACACTTTTTCTGAATAACATTTGTTTTGTATTTGCCGAAACTATCAGTAAAGGATTCGCAGTAAAAAAATACGACCCGCAAGAGTGTTTTTTACGCTTTCCGAAAGTCAAGCAACATCCCAAGACCAAGTGGTTTAGTTCCTCGGTATTTCGATTGAATTTTACATGGAACTGTTTTCTTAAACTTCAGACTGGGCGAGAAACTAATTTTATGGCTGGGTGTGTGGTAAAACACAGTGCTACTCTGTCAAAAAAAACCATTTATTCAATAGGAAAATCAACATATTTAATATATTTCATTTACAGTTCTTTTATAGTAAATTTTATGTAGTATTTAGAGCACGTGTGTTTTATACCTGATAAAGCACGACTACAAGTGCTGCCTTTCACCATCTTATGAGTTCATTGGCGAAGTAATTTTAAAAATCGACATTGTCTAAGCCGAGAAAATCAAAGCTAAAGTTTATCTAAATTAATATGAATTTTTATCACATATTAAACCACCGATCCGGCAGTGACTTCCTTTGTCTTTCAAAACATCATGAATGTTAAATTAATGATTTAAATATTTCATGAGGTGGCATTAAAAATTCTGTTCATTTTAATTAGTAAAGCTTATCGTTTAATTATGTTTAATTGATAAAGCTTATTGTTTAATTAATAAAGCTTGCTGTTTAATTAATAAAGCTTGCTGTTTAATTAATAAAGTTTATTGTTTAATAAATGAAGCGTATTGTTTAATTAATAAAGCTTATTGTTTAATTAATAAAGCATATTGTTTAATTAATAAAGCTTATTGTTTAATTAACAAAGCTTATTGTTTAGTTAACAAAGCATATTGTTTAATTAATTCAGCTTATTGTTTAATTAATACAGTTTTTGTTTAATAAAGCATATATTTCTTAATTAATAAAGCTTCTAATATTGTTTATTAATTAATAAAGCTATTGTTTAATTATAATAACATCAATATATAAATAGTTTAGTAGGTTAGTCAATTGTTTTCGTATCATTTTTTCGTATCTTCTTGATCTTGCTCTTGCTTATTTGCAGCCCAGGACAAATACGTGTTCCAAAATATTGCGACGAAGTTCACGACAAATGCTCTATGTTGTAGCGGAACAAAAGTAAAATTAATCGTCTGTATCACAGGCCAGATGTAGTAGTTCGTTAGCAAAGTCTTGAAATACTGGTTTCTAAACTTTGATTTAATCTCTTCTGGGGTTTTACCAAACAGCAATCCGGTCGTGCCAAAGAATGTGGCAATTATACAAGGTGCGAAAAACGTTTGATCCATTGCAACCTTTTTCAAAGCATCGATGGTTCTGGTGCCTTTGATAGCGCTGTCTAGGAAGATGTACCAGTATCGTAGTGCCGGACCAACGATAAAAACTCCTATCGAGGCCATTCCCAAAGTGCGCCTGAAGTCGTGTTTGCGACCGCGTCTCTCAACAACCTGCTGTGAACAGCAGTCGCCAATTCCAATGAGAATACCTAGAAGCGAAATAAATGTATTCTATAGCTGATCTTGTTGAAATTTGAAAAACCTGGGGTACCCCAAGGAGCCTTTAAGGGGTGGTGTTGATATGGAGGTGAACCAGACTGGGTACCCAGGTTATATTTGGTGTAACTATTATACATAGGTTCAACTTCAAAACATTGCCAAAGAAAAATTGGGTACCAGATAAGTGTTGCGAGGATGTCGTGTAGCCTAAGATATATATTTGTCTGTTTTTAGTATGCAAAACAACGTCTGGTGACTTGCACTTCCAAAGTTTCAATTTAGTTCAGCTGGTGCTAGGCCACAAGAATGTCACTTAAGAAACACGATATTCCTTTACTCCAGTCAAAATCTTGATATTTAACTGAAATTTCCCAACTTCATTAAATTGCTGAATTTTTTAATCGTCTGGCTAACACCCTGCAATGCTGTTACAATATTGTTGACAACTTGTTCTTAGGATGCAGCACAACCTTGTTCAAGCATGTCGATATCAACCGGAAACAGGTTATTCGTTTTTACGTGTGTCAAATAACTAATCACAACAATAGATCGCGAATATAAACTAGTTTAAAAACAAATATTGGAGTTCCACTCATCAAGATCAAACACTGTTTCAACCTTGTGCTTATTTTTACATTGGAACAAATCAACATTTTATACAATCCTTATCTGAGCTGCGGACTTCATATTTTCCCTCGTATGAAATAAAATGACATGAGTCACATGACGCTTGGTTCAAAATTTGAAATCGTGAAATCGATCGCGCAACGCTACAAATTCAAGATCATCGACATTATAAATACAAGGCTTTTTCGAATCTTCGTGTACAATATAAATTAAATACCTGCACTGGCAACTTGTACTTTGAAAGGATGAATTTCTAACAATCGAAGGTACCCTCTCCACAAAGCCGCCATCTTTAATTTAAATATGTAATACTTCGTGTAAGAGGACTCTTTCTACTTTCCTAAAGTCGTGAAATCGACAAATGGCGACATCTGATTGGCCTGCGGTAAATGGACCATCCCCAATTAACCAATTAAAATTTTTGATCTCAACAAGTCTAAACAAAATTCCATCACATCATGAAAGAGCATCACAAAATTAGTAATACTCCAAAGTTTCGTTGCAAAATGTTGTAAAATGCGGATATTAATAGCCTTGC